TCGAAGTATAAGACATTTAAATAATAAATAACTATATTGGTTACATTGTAGAAAATTGCTAACAGTGGATTTTTACGTGCAACTCATTAAATGAATACAACTGCAATCAAATATTCGTATTAACATCGAAATTTTAACTCAGTACGCATCTGATCAATCTGTAGAACAGTATCTATAAAACTATTGAGTCACAATAATCGCCATCTTATTTTATCATACTATTTTTTTAATAATTATAAGACGTTTTGTTTGTTTTCATCATTTGATATTTAGGACTAAAATTCAATCAATCTCAATGTAAACAAGAACATATAAATGCTGGTACATTACACTGACAAGTTGTATATTTTCCAAAACACATATTCTATTATTCACAGTCGATTTAGTTTGTAGGCATAAACATAACTGGCATATCAGCTCAAGAAATTAACATACAAACAATGATTTACAAAATTCAGTCTGTTATAACAAAGGTGAGAAAATTTAATGCGCCTTCGAAACTTACCGTAGATTGTATTATTCCGTTATATTATTCTAGATTTCGATTCAGTGTTGGGCTTTCAACTTGCATAAAGTTTAGTTTACTATGTTAACAAATAAATGCGCAAAATGTACAGGCTCTCTGAAAAAAATAGTTTATGGTTATCAAAACTTTTAATTACCAAGACGGCTAAAAAGTGAAGCACTTAAATTTGTGATTGATTTACATAACTTTTAATCACTTTCCTGAATTTAATTAAACTGTTATTGTAACTAGTTCATTATGTATATTTCAAGATTTTGGGATTTAAAGTATTTTACAATGATTGAGGAGACAATCCTCTTTAAATATATTTGTGAGCATTGCTAAATTTCATAGTTTGCATCATGGATTGATGTTATATTATTAGTCACGTGATAACTAGTTATTAAAGCTGGTTACAAAAGTTCCAATGAACAGACATTGACAATGAATTCCAACCCTGTTGAATGTGAGGAAAATATCACTGATGGTTGTGGAATATTGTAAATTCATTAAATTCAACTGTGTCAATCATTAGATCCTGACAAAGTAGTTTAAGTATTAAGTATTCGTCTTGAAACATGGAGATTCTTACTTCCAGTTTCAGTGTGATCACAAATATAAACTGTCGAAGAATTCCACATTGAGATGAAATAGGAGTTTAGTAATTTCTAGTTTCCAGTGATTTCTTATTTAAAATCAGTTTATGGTATGAACTATGGTACACAACTCAGTAAGAAAATCATAATTGAATAAGTGTATTGTGATCTCATTAAAATACTCATAATGATGAAATGAAAGTTTTTGATTTAAAGTAATAATAAATCATACTATTATGGATACAACCAGTTTTGGCTGGATGCAATACTAGCTTAAACGCTCTTTTTAAGGCTCAAAATTATAACTTGTTACTCGTCCAATAATTCACCATTCACTTACATATGGTTTCATTTAATAGACAAATTGAAAACTAGCTACAGAATACATCATTCACAAGGAACCAATTAGTTCGGGGCATTAAAACTATAAAATAATATTATAATTTAAAACTCTGTAACGAAAGGAATTCAGATTCATTTATACCGCTGTAATCGATTGTAAATCATGTTATGTAAGATCTCAAACCATAAATCATAGCTGTATCTGTTAGCACAACCACTAACTGAATCCATTAAATTGGCTCAAATAAACTGTTATTGGTTTTATCAGCTCCTGTTATCCTTTAATCTAATCAAAGACATTTCTTTTTGACTAGTCAGCAAAGAAAACATCTCTCAGATTATAAGCACTCCCTTAGTTATCATAGTTACAATTACCTCAGGTAATTTGGAATCAGAATAATGGGCTGGATTGTCTTTAATCTGGACTCACAAAGAACAATTAACAACTCAGCAATATCTGGAAGATGCGAACCCATTAAAATTGGTTAACCTCAGTACGATATGTTTAATTAAGTAATTATTTGTCACTTAAATATGCTAGGCTAATTTCAGTCTTTTAAAACTGTTCTTAAACGTCCTCATAACGGTAAAAGATATTCAATTTTAATAAGTAAATATCAAATCAAATAATTGATATATACACATTAGTAACTAATTTAACGAGTAATTTCCTTAAGTTTTAGTAAAAAAATCTTAACTACTCAAACCAACCTAGTTCACATTGTTAACATTTATGTAATTGACTTAGTATTGTATGGCATAATTCTTTCCATTCAGTTTTTTTAATTTTAGGACTGCAATTGATCAGTCTGTTATTGGCATATGTGCATACTGGGCGTATGCCTCGACATTGTCTTAATTCACAATCTTTTTGTAAGCAATGATGGATAGTGGCTAACAGTGGAATGCAGGACGCGCGTTTCTTCCTACTGAGGACTCGTCAGTTGGATGTACCTGCATATCAGAGTTGATGTTCACCCTGGGATTCAAACGCCACTCAGCTACTGAGTCCTGATAGTCACTTGCTTGTGCAATGGGGTGAATTTAAATTCACCTGGTATTGTTTGGCTTGTATCTTTCTACTGAGTTTTTTTGTAACTGACTCAATAAATTAATGAGTTTCACAAACTAATTCACATAGACTAGTAAAATTCCATTCCATTGGTCAATAGACATCATGCTTAATAATAATAGTAATAGTTAAAGATCGTAGGTTTATATTTATCAGACATCATAATTTGTTAAAAGAAATTGAAATATCTGTATTCTGCTTAATAATTATACCTTGGCTGACATCATTGATTTATATAACACTAAATATCGTTGAATGGAAATTAAAATGTAAATTATATTGTTTTAAATAATAAACAAAATTGTACTTAATCCGTTAATCTTAAAAAGAATTCTTTTTAACATAATACTTTCTTAATAAAATAAATTTTAATCACATCAAATTACCATAGAAACGAATTAAAGTACAAAATTATTGAAAACTATTGTTATGATAATGTTTTATATTGAATAGCCTCTAATAAATATATGGTTTAAAGAAATTTTCACTTTATTGTTTATTGTTCATATCAAACCATTATTTTCCTGTGATGAGTTTTAAAATGAGTATACATTATTCAAAGATTCTATAAGACCTTATAAACATATATATCTTAATGTTAAACACTACTATCTAATAGAAATCCCGAGAAAATATTGCTATTGTGAATCTGATATTGAAAATAACTTCAAGATCAATATTATATTCAGTGTCCATTAATAACTGAAACTTGATGAAAGAACAATGAAATTGTAAGAATCCCGACATTTCATGTTACAAATATTTGCCATAAAATTAGACGTATATGTAGTGAATCCAGTAAATTGCATGTTAAATTAATAAAGGAATAAGTTTTCATATGAAAATTACAGTTTAATTTTCGTTACAGAAAAAGCATTAAAAAATGAATTAAACGTATAGGCTAAAAATATTTTAATAAGTGTCTTTATAGCAAAAATTGACATGTTTTGTGGAGTTAGTAAACGAAATTTATAGAGAATAATGATTATAATGAGAGATCTTAATTTTGGTATATTCACTCAAGTGATGGAAACAACTTTATATATACACATACATACATTACCATTACAAGTTATGCGCTAAAGCAGGTACAATATCAAAAATCAATCAAGATAGTCCACCAAATAAATGGAGTGATTCCATGAATCGACTAGTTATGAGCACTGACTGTCTGATACTGTTTTTGATTTCGAATGATGAGTGAATACTGTAAAGTGATCAAACGTCTCTTCATTAGTCTATATCTTTTTCCATGCTGTTCTGATAACATTTTACTGTAATTCTAAAATTCATTTCTTCATGTAACACAATCCATTTTCACAATTAACAATATTTATCTAGATTCTGTGATACTTTTCATAAATACTCTACGTCCTAATAAATACATTTTTAGTCCTACAACAAAACTAGGGTGTCACTTTTTATTTTATTTTGTCCCACTATTGTTACGCTCATTAATTCCGTTTTCAATAAACATATTGTCAACAGTCATCGTGTAGAAACGGTCTGTATTTGTGATTACAGAATTACGTTAACCAATTAACTGTGAAGAGAATTTTTTTCTGAATCAACCTTTTTTAGTTTTAAATAACTCCAAGTCATTATTTCACTTAACTTACATTTATCTCTTGTAATACTGTACTGAACATGATGTCAAAATTGATGTCAAATGTCCATGAAAACTTTAGTTCAAAGAAAGATGAAACTATAACAACATTTACAAATCAAACTCTAAATCAAGAAGCACTGATTTTCACTAACTACCCAGAAAAGATCATTTCTTAATGTAAACGATGAAAATACTTTGATTTAATAAAGGATAACTACATCTATTCATAATAAAATTTAATTTATATAAAATGTAAAATCATATTAATTCACTTCAGATTACTAAAGAAACAATTATAAGACTGAACGGCCAATAGTTTCAGATAAAAAATGTTGCTTCTGTTATCATAGTGAAATTCCTTACGTAAAATGATCACTTCCAATGCGATAACATTTTATTTTCGGTTTATACCACAAAATCAAGAAGTTATGAGTATTAATTCCGATTACATATGGAACTTTTCAACAGTCTGCACCTATAAATCCAATTGGGAGAGAACGCTGACTATGAAATACTAAGTCAATTATCTGTGGTCTAGTTACTCCTTGCGATATCTAATGGTCGTGGGTTTAATCACAGATACTGTTAAAGATGCGTTTTGCCAAATAATCTCTCAACAGGACAAAAACGTGTGGTCCTTCTTTGCTTCTAGTGCCTGCCAAGTTGAAGTAAGCTCGTATTGTCAACAATGACTTTTTTAAAACAAACGTTATGCAAGCAAGTTTAAAAAGAAGTTTCATTACACTTTGTCTAAACGTACGATTCGCGCCGAATAAATTTCCAGTAAAATCAATGAAAATTATCCCAGATTTATACCGTTTTAAATAATACAAGCAATTACTTTTCACCGTAGAGAATAAGACGTAAACCTCTAACCTTGGGATGACTTTTAATGCTTTCCTGAAATGTTTCATGATTGCTTCTTCGTGATCGCTTTAAAAAACCAAATGAAGGTCGTTCGTATTCACTGCATTCGGAGTAGCTGATTTCGTAAACATTTTGATGAGGTAGCTAAAAATATATCCGAAATTTAAGAACAAATTGTCTATTCAGTAGTTATTACTTCAGTATGAGCAAAATCAAGAGGTAATTTTTCAAATTGTAACAATGAATACGTTTTGTCTGAACATTCATTGGCATAAAGGAAGTCTTATTAATTATATATTCCAATTTATCGACAATTCAAACAGTCTGTAGGGTTTGACTTAAGAAATTCTGTAAATAGACATTACAACACTTAGTTCTGTGGTAGTGCAGTGCATTTTAAAAAATTATTTAGCCAAAATCTGATCACTTAAAGCATGAAAAATAAGACCAGCTTACTTCTAAATCAAGTTTTTTTAATTAGTGTTGAGGTGCATCATGACATAGAAGTTGGAGTTTATCAAGAAATAAATATAATATAACTTATGTTCACGTAGAGACAATATTTTGTTTAAAGTTATAACAAAAGTAAAAGGTTTTGTTCAGGGAGTAATTTCAGTGCACTTATTCATATTCAGTATCATAGTGTCACGAATGAATGAACAAACCAATAAAGCATCCCTTCATATACTTCAACGTATTTGAGACCTAGATTACCCACGTGATGGGCAGTGTAAACTTACAGCTGATTCAATTATCTGATTAGAGTTTTATCAATCTTCCCATCAATATAATATTTTGACTTTTACATTATTTTTTAACTAGGGATTACATGATGAAAACAGTGTACTGTTTTAAGAAGTCAAACGCTTTTCCGATAGCTTATACAAATGAAGTCTCTACGATCAACTGATCATGATTTGCACATTAATTTCCGTGGGGATTAACAAAATATTAACATTTGACGAGCGTTTTAACTTAAAGGTTTATAGTAGTTTTGTAACATAACGACCTATGGTCATGTCTGTCGGTGTTTATTTGGAACTAGTTACTTTCCTTTTTATGGGGTTAAAACGTGACCAGACTCAGACAAATGTGAATTATCTTTACTTATTAAGAGGCACGCCAGTTTCTTTTGGTAATTCATAAGGGACAAGCCCTCGAAACGAAATAATCTGCTTTTATGTATGGTCAACATATGTAACTTTTCTAAATTTAGGTTAGATTGAAAAGAATAAACCGCTTTGTCTATTCAGCTGACCGATAAAAAATAAAAAAACACGACTGGGTTAATGTATCGGACGAATTCTAAATAAAAGTACTACTAACCCTAAAATTATATCGTACTAACATCATGGATTGAAGTCAGTTAGACATTCATTTGCAAACAGAAGTACAGACCTCCGTTCATTAAAAAACGTCTACGAAACTACACTCTAGAGATTACTTGGTAGGGGGATAAATCAAATAACTGAGGTGTTTATTTGTTCTAGGTATTTAGTGACAGTTAACCGTGAAGAACATGCCCACTATTAAGGATTTTCGTCTTATTTGACTTTGTCTTGTACGAAAGAGCAGTGTTATTGACAAAGAAATATATACAGGGATATTTTTAAGCTATCAAAAAGTGAAATAAGCTTCGGTCATTTAACAACTGACATTTATAGCAAAGTGCATTGATCAAGCTAAAGTAAGTGAGGATACAAATCTTTCAGTTGGAGCTCATATAGCATATTGTTTTGGTAGGATATGATTACTTTTGAAATGTTGACTTAGCAACAGGATAAGTCAAACTTTTTCAACTTAGGAATGCAACGTAGAAGTAAAAGTAATTCCAAACACACTGATCAGCGAGTTTATTTAAATAAACGCAGGCTTGAAAAGCCCAGTTTCCATTTCTTTCATATACTGAAAGTATATATACTACGTTTTATTTTCAATATATGTTAAGAAAAAAGTAGTAGACCACACTTTGTTTTCGGTTAAACAGCAAAGATAACAAACGCAAACAAAGTGGCAACATATCAAAATTCATCTGAAGTCAACATTCATTAAGAAGAAATAATTTTATAGTTAAATTACTTACACTTCCAGTGACTGTACCTCCAAAACCACCGACCAAATCATTTACCTCAACCTCACTTAAATCTGTTTCTATCGCATAAAATCGATGACATGTTGTCAGTACGGTTCCAGTAAGGCATAAATGGCAAAGAATACCAAACATTAACATTTTACTCCGAAAACATATAACATATTTGAGTTTGTAGATAAAGTCATTCATCTGAACAAAGAAAGTTAAAACAAAATTCATATAATAAAACTTTACTAACTAAAATCAATCGACTGCTAGACTTTGAAGTGTAAATCCAAATTTATAACGAGATTTTGTTGTCACGATGATTAATTACTTTTTCTTGAAACCTGGAACTTTAGTGTATAAAAAACTAGCGACCACCAATGTTCTACATTCATATAGTCCAACTTCAAGTGTTGCCCGTTTGTATTTCGTAAAAATAAGCTGTAATAAAAATGGTTCTGTGTACATGTTGATAATATTATTTCACATCCTGTATTATACCACTAGCATGTAAAATGCGCCCAAATGAAATTGGTAGAGTTTACTCCTCGGTTTGAATACAGTTTCTGTTATTCTGATTTGAAATTATTGTAGTGGATTGACACACTCGTTGTAAAGTGAGGCTCGTGATGCTGTCAATTGATTCTAGACACAGTTCTTGTGAAATACAAAAAGGCTCCTGATTACTTCTGGAGTAAAGAAACATAGCTTTCGGGATAGAAACCTAATGACAGACTAATTTCTACTGATTTCAGGGTGCCATTGAGCATTAACATCCAGAGCGTTACATATAGTGAGGTCCTGATTCTTTAAAGTCTGAAAGTGTGGTACAGGAATCTTCAGGATAGCACAGGATTAATGGATGCAGTACTATCGTATACCTCATTCGGTATTCGAATTATGAATTAATTTTATAAAAACTAGGATTCTTCCCTCTGGTTTTCATAGATCTGTTTTGGCAGTACTAAGCCTTGTGTCTACCGTTGACGTAAATCGTGGTTGAGATGAGAGTACTGAATATAAATGAAAGTACAACTACTGCTCACCATCGTGATTAGTGTGTGAATAGTTTCAGGCTTTGAACGGTTAAAACAGCTATCGCCATATCTAAACTACTGTCGCTTGAGACTGCCATCAATAAACTTGTATCCTCTCTAGCTTTTCCTATATTTTCGGTCGTGGCGGTTATTAGAAAGGTTTGAGTGATTTTTTTCTTTTCTCGAACATTGGTCGTTGCACACAAACCGTGGTGTACGGAGTTTACACTCAACACAGCCTTTCCCAAACGTCCGAGGGCTTTCCTAGATTCACAAGGTAAATACTGAAAAGATTAATTACGCTTTAGCTATACCATCCATATAAATCACATTTGCATATGACTAGTGCCTTATCGTCTTTAAACTCAAGTGAAAGAACTCACTTTATATGTTGAACATGTCAAGAATATTTGGAGTTTGACAACGCTTTATACAGTAATACCTACTATGGATCGCAACCACCTAGTGAAATCAAAGATCAGAAGCTAAGAGTTTTGAAGATATGTTTGATAAGCTAATAATATATCGAGAATCGACTGATCTATGCTGGCTGGCAATTTCAGGGGTAGTTTAGCACGGCGTTTCCACTCGTGGTCTGGTGCGGATGCATGACCGAGCGCTTTAAGCTAGGTGAGTCCACTGAAACCAATGTCGTTTGCATTCAATGTCGAAAACTTACAGAGCTATATGTCTTGAGGATTTATTTACCGCTACATTGTCGCCTGGTGAATTGAGTACTGGAAGAATTAGATGTCAGCTGATTATACAATATAGAGTTTGTCGTGCCTGGAGAGTTCATCAGACTCTTCTACGAAACCTCAAGAACAAATAAATCCAGCGACAGTTTTAGTGATATTTATTAGAGAGCCTTTGACTCTCAGAGTAAAGACACATCAATATCCCGGTGTACCAGCTCAACTGAATCCACACATCAGTGTGGATGATTAGTTAACGCAATTGCGTAATAAGCACAGAAACTGCTAGATATTCCACTTGTTTAGTTCGTTTACTGGTCTCCTTATATAATAATTTTCTCAGTATGCGGCAGCGTTAATTGGAGGCCCAGTGTACGACTGCTAGTTGTGAGAGTCAGTAGAGCCAGCTGTCCGACTATTAGAAGCCAGTCATATCGAATTGTTATATGATCATTCAGCATATTCGTTGTAAAGATAACAGATTTACGCACGAAGACGAACCACAGTGATCAGTGAATGACCACTTGTTCCTTGAAATCAGTAAAAAGACAAAGATAATGTCTGTAAGAAGAGTCTAGTGAAGACTGTTTTTGAGGAAGCTATACAATTCACGATTAAACGGCACAATTCCTTTCTTCGTAACCAAGCCCATTAAGACTAGTAACACTGATGTGCAGCGTAGAGTCAGCTTCCTCGTATATTATTCAAAGCTACAGTAAATAAGGGGATGAAGAGAGACACGAATTGAATTTCGTCAGTCAATTGTAAATTGACTGCTGAAAATTATACTAGCGCGAAAGATATCCTTATCTTTTTACCGAACGTTTCAGGGAGTCAGACATGTACGGAGTCGAATGACTGTAGCTTTAGTAGTTATGAGTGAATGATTAAAACAGGTTTCCTTGAAAACATTTTATTTCAGGCTTCCAGACAAGGTTTGACTGGGATCTAAATGACATGAGATAATCGTTAGATTATGGTGTGTACAAAATCTGATATTCTCGGCAATATAATAGATATGAGAATGTGAAATTACGGTGGCTATGAATTCTGTACAATGACGCGGAAAATTAACATCGCAGTATGTGCAAATAGTATCAAATGTATAAATCCAATTATGAATGAAATGCATTCTACAGAAGAAAGTGTTTGCTATAATAGAAGATCAATTAGAAACGGTACGCGACTAATCGTTAAAATAGGAAGTAAATACTTAGTAAAAATTAACCCAGCCTTCGTTAACCTAGAAACTAAGTTTTGAATCGAAAACGTCAAAGATATCATCAGTTTAATAAAATCAGAGGGGTTGTGAAGTGCTTCAAATAGGAAACTTTCCTAATGAACAGAAATTATGATCAAATTCTGTTATGATTTTATGTCCGGCTTTTATCACGGGGTTTATCCACCAATCAAAATACGGCTTATACAATCTTAGCACTATGCCAAACCAATGACGTTCAACCGGTATGAGCAGTCTAGCGTCCTTATTGGCACTTTGTCCTTCTAGCCCGTCCACTTGAGTCCAGAATTCAATACTAGCTTCTGCAATATGAATCGAATCGTTTATTTCAGACATACTCGGTTTATATATCAACGAGACAGACCACAACGTACCATAAAATAGAAATTAACATATATACACAATAAAGCCAAAAAGTGGCTGTGAGTGAGGGAGGCAGTAATTAATAAACTGAACATAGCTTAAGAACCGTAAATCGTACAATAATAAATTATAGGTCAGAACAAAGCTTATAACAAGGGGAATATAGATGTACATAATCTAATTGTTGAATAGTTATACAATAAGAATATTTATAGAATATTTGTTCATTATTAGTCCTCGGAAGCCACCCGTAGATTAATCCTCGTTCGGATATAACAAATTCGATATCAGTGCACTTATCATTGCTGCTAGAATGATAGACGGAATCATAAAACCCCAAATTTGTCATGATATGATTACCCAACGCGTAAGATCCGATATAGAAGTCTCACCACTATACATATTGACTCTTCTCATAGTGCCAACCAACAGTCTGATGCCTGACGTTTCTAGGGCCATGTTTGGGCTGAGGATGGCATAATAAATGTAATATGAAAAGGAGGAAGTTACATAGAGTTACTACGTTTACATTTGGATCCCGTCTTCACGTGTTCACTATTTTTTGACCTTCTCAATGTGTTGCATATTGGGAGTAGATCTCAGTTAGTATAAATTCAACTTCGAAAATCGTGTGTTTAGGATCCGATAGACGTACAAGTTATCCATACTCCAGATGATGCAAACAATTAATAAGTTTCAAATAAACCAAAATGGAAACCAAACATACGCAGATGTAGTCAACAACGGAAGAAACGAGGCAGTTTATGAAAGGACAAGGACTGTCTGGTAGCAACACGGAGGGATTTACCACATGCTCTCATGGGGATATGGTAATCGGTTCTGTAGTATACATGATTTGTCTCCAGTTTACATATTTCTGCTGCGGCAATTTCATAGATTTGTGACTTTGTGGATCATAAATTACATTGCCTTACTATAGTAAAATTAGCACATATTTGAGATACTTAGCGCATTGATGTGACAACTGAAGATCTCGAACTTATCATTGTAACTCAGAACGCAGTCTTTTATCAGATAATTTGGATAACAATACATTAGGCAATAGTCGTCAGACCATATTTCGGTCTTATTTTACCCACTTACAATCTGACATGTAGTAGGTTCATGCACCTCTCCGACACGTGAATAAACCCATCAGTACGGATCTGTAAACAAATTCCCGAAACAAGTTCTTGAATTCATTAGTTTTACTGAACACCCCCTAACTGAACGCGCTTGGTCCCAATGACATGCGAGTACGCTGTGTTACATATTTTTTTCTAGTAGAAGCCAGTCTAGATCAAACGCTTCTCGACATATCGACAACCATCTAAAAATACATTCGTACTCATTCATCCCTGACTTCTGATCTGATTGGGTTGGTCTCCTTCTATTATAGGTGTTAGAAATAAAAGTGTTATCAATCCTAAATTGTATGTGGCGTCTTCTAATAACCACCGACATTTAGTATGACACTTACATGGTAGTCATCTTACACCCTTGAAATATGCATGCCAAATTACTTCGCATGTTTACTTGGATTCAACCTTTAGGGAATAAATACGACAACAGTGATGATATAAGGAGTCTTGTGAGAAATATGCTATGGATGTGTTCATTTCATGCACTCGTATAAGCAGATAAAATGAAGAATTATGATCGGGTCGGAAGCTAAATCCATAATTAGATCTTTTAAGAACTTAATCAAGATATTATAAAATGAAGAGAAAGTAGTACTAAGAAAGACGAAATATTAATATGTCAAACTGAAACGACATTATGTAACCAAAGTGGTGGTAGAAAGCAACACTCAACAACAAGTTAGGTATTATGACTGAAAAAATAATTACAGCAGCTATGTGATGAATGTTACTTTGAAGTCTCTTTTGAATAACTTCCACAAATATAGTTTACATAGTTATTAAATATTCTCCTATGTGTTTGGCGCCGATGGCATGAAGCGAAGTAATAGCCCAATGATATTTTGGAGTGATTCATTCTCTCATTATGTAGAGTGATGTGTAATGGTAATGTGACGCTATTATAATCTTCACCTGTAAGCATTGGCTGATAAGACAGAAGATGGAACGACGTCGATAGTACTTATTTGAACACCGAAGTCACGTAGATACTAACCAATTATTAGTAGTTTATCCACAAGTGACTAAAACAAGCAATAGATACTGAATATAAATGTGGTTATACGTAAAACTTTACGAAAAACAAAAGGTACCTTCTTTTTTGTAGTTATGAGAATTACTAAATTTACATGTTGCTATGAATTCATCATACTAATAACTGGCGATACGACTTATAGAGCTTTACGTCTACGACAACAAAAGGATATGTAGATTCATATGTAAGCAGGAAGTGTCAGGTCTAAATCATAAATTAGGACGAGCACAATTCGATCAGTGAGATAACATGGACATTTATGTAGTAAGTAAAGCAATTAGTAATGTCATAATGACTTATTTTCAATTGGTGGTCAGGTCTTTAATTTTATCTAAAATAAAACATTTGCATAGGGGTCTTCTGAATCTATTACTGGACACATACAACTGTAACTACCAATTTTGACAGATATGTACTCACTGAGAACTGGACCCGATATAGATTATAAGGCACGTTACTTTGACAGTGAATTCATTAGGCTTATAATATAACAGATATAGCACAAAAAAGTTACAAAAAAGTATGTGAATGCTAGCATAATGTACACTTAAAATGCTTTGAGACTACTTGTTGTCCTATCCAGTACTCAGAAACATTTATTTTAAATTTACGTATTTCTATGCTTTAGGGACCTGTTATGTTTGGTCGTTGCTGATTGCTGTGCTGGAAAAAACGCTAATCACTTATACTGGGAACGAGGGACCCCTGCAATTCCCACGATGCGAAGTAAGTACACAAAGACTGGTATAAGTGATGATTCATTAGCCCCAAACACGACGACGAACGGTGATCAAAATAGTTTAAAATACACTGGTTTATATATTGATTTTACACCCATTTATGATTAATAATTAAAATAAAATCACATGTATGAAAAATACTTAGTTATAACAAATCACAGACTGATTATAGTTAATAACAAATGAATACAAGAATATCATATATTATACAGAATAAAATATCATACGACAAAAGAAAACATATAATACAGTGAATGTTCATCACATTGAATTATAATGTATGTAATGTTGAATAAAACTCATAGTAATTAAATCAATCAAAATTTGAGTTTTTATTTCCTATCATATCAGGACCAAGAACCATGTTTTGTGATCCCGGTATAAATCATATAAACCCTGCAGATCAATATTTACGTTTAATAAAGCCCCATGTTTGTACCTCATACACGCTTCACAACTATGACTACCACTTGCCTTGAACTTCCCCGCGCAGCTGTCTTTCAAAATAATGAATGGGGATAGTGTTAGCAAAAGGTTGTTTGTCTTTTTATCACTAATGATCTATTCCTAATTTAGATTGCAGAAGGAATTAATGGAGTTGCTAGTAAGTTTTCGAGCCATTGGTCTTAGTTTATATGTCAGTTTTATTTACCCTTTTTCTTCTGTTGACTTCAAACCATATTCCCCGTTGACATTAAGGTCATTGTATCCGCTTAGTGTTATTAAATACCCATGCATGTATCTTCCGTTTCGAATTCCTGCTTAAATGAGTATGCAAGGCATCCATCTTTAACATTATAGGGGATACATTGTTATCGTACAATAGAATCCTCAGATTCATCTTTATGGTTAGTTCCACACTTGAACTGCAGTCATGGCTGCACTAATATATACTCAGCATACGTCACGTGTCCAAGTCGTAAGCAGTGAACTCCCTGATTAGTAGATCTCAGCCAATTCCCGATAGCTAAAAACCAGGTTAATGGACCAAAATAACCCTGAGTTGCAGTTGCTGACATAGGTGTTTACAGACAGGGGGAATTAATCCGAAATTAGTGTATATTGATGCCTGATTATAATAAGCCACAAAAACTACTTGTTTCAGTTTTTGGGTATGTCATACCTGATGACGAAATCATTATCCTGTTAATAAGTGGCACCGATTTTACAATCTGTTAATAAAGTAGTTTATTGATGTCTTGAGATGCTTTATCTGCAATCCCTCAGGTGTCCTGTTACTTGGCCCATCAGTAAGTGTTACTGATCCAAATCTCCGCTTTAGTTATCGAAATACTCGTACTTCAACCTCTGAGTTGGAGACTGGAACCCCATTTCATTTGTAGTGATTCGGGCAATCAGGTCCGAAATTTTTACTTAATTATTGAGTGACAGTGATTGATTCCCAGTTATCCTTCACCAATTGGTGTGTTCATTCGATCTATGCAACGTCTAGTTCAGACAACCGACACCTTACACAATGAAACTCAAAGCCAAGTACGTGGTAAACGAGATACGTTATAACCATGTTACTCCTTTGTGACTGGGCCTCAAGAAAATATGCAATTCATTGCCTTGGAATGTAAAAATTAGTCAATGCGTGGTCTGTTGAAGCCCCTCAGAGTGCATTGAAGACTTGACACTTACATGATTCAGACAATGTAATAATTGTATTTTATCCCGTTATTTATCGTTTGTATATATATGCCTAGTTTCCAAGTTAAAAAATGTGCAAATGGAACCAGTTAGCTTACCGAGAAAATTAGTCTAGTGAATTTGAAATATTAAGTGACCAGATTTCATACAAACCAAAAGAATACCTTATTATTTTTGCTTGATATTAATTTAAAGTTAATTGTTTATTACAGATGTCTAACGACAAAAGCGTGACGGCATTTCCAGATGGTGAAAATCTCACTCGTTGGCTAGCGTCTATACGTGGTCCTGATGGAACGGTAAGTATATCAATTTTTTACATAAATGTCGATTCTTGATGCCATTGTCTGGTCCTCATTTTTTTCTAATCATTGATATCTTACTTTGTCTCTTAAAGGTATATGAAGGTCAGCAATACAAACTTTCACTTGAGTTTGGCCCTAACTATCCATACAGTCCTCCAAATGTGCGTTTTGTTTCGAAATGTTATCATCCTAATGTTGATACTCGTGGAGTAATATGCTTAGATATTCTGAAAGAAATGTGGTCTCCTTTACTGACTGTAGAAAATCTTCTGTTATCTATTCGAAGTTTATTAGCAGGTTAGTGTTTTAACATCGCATCTATATTTCTGAATTCTGTTGACTGCTTGTGCACAAGACAGCGTAGTCCTAGAATGTTTAGCATCCTCATCCAACGTGTGTACTAAAAGATTGTATATGTATATATGTCTGAGCTCCTGTGTAATTGAATTATACACCTGATTGTATGTCGAGTGCTTCATGTCGGTAGAATAAATTAAAAAGCTTAGGTGTTTTAAGGTTGTTGGTACTAACCAATTAGAGTTGATTGTAATGGTGAGGCTCCATATATCTGGATTTCATTCATTTAGTTTGACTAGTGAGTATGTAAACCTAATCCGGGATAATTTTATTCCCAAGAATGATCGACAGAATCGGATCACTATAAATCAAACAGACATTATACTAGCTACCTATCAGTGGTCAGACAGTGTGAATGTATCATTTTTACAGGTCTGTCGCTACTCAAGTAGCTCGGTAGTGACTTGGCTTTGAAAATCATGAGGAGTATCAGGTCCCTCAAGACTAAGTACGCCATGTCAACATGTACTAGCTGACATAAAATGTCGCGAAATTCTCTTCTGATCACTTCTAACTATTTAACATCGAAATAGTGCAGTCAGTGTTGAGTCACTTAAACTAGTGACTAAATCAATACTAAGTACCAGATAAAAATTACATGGGTCACTACATAGTGATCGAGCAGTGTTAAGTATTCCACAACTGTCATGTGTTATTTGCAATATACTTCTGAACTGAATGCTTCTAATAATGTTTCTTGTCCGTTACAGAACCCAATAATGATAGTCCTTTAAATGGGCAAGCAGCTCAACTATGGTCTAATCCTTCTGCATTCCGTGCTGAAATGATGAAATTTCAAGCATCATCGTCCAACAGCTAGTCTATGTAAATATTTCAGTGTCTGGCTATTGTGTACAGTCAAATTTTCTCCTTAACAGTCCACAAACTTTTGTACTATCCATTCTCTTTCCCTCTATTTTCTAGTTTCTATATTCTACCTAAATCCATGTATTTATCCAAATGCAAGACATACTCAAAAGACTCGCGTATAAATATTATATACATACAAAATAAAATGTTCTATAAAACGCTATATGAGTTTTCAACTCGTCGTAGTGGTCAACAAACCATTTCCAAATGAATTCGTTTGATTTGTTGTATTGTAAATTTGATTTATTGTGTTTATAAGTCGTTGATACTGACGTTTATCAGATCGTGAAAGACATGATGCAAGTCCAGTTAACTGAGATCGTGAATATTTAGTCCCATAGTTAGTTAACCAATGCTCCCATTCGTGTATAGGTATGTAGAATGCCTGAATATACTCAATTACATAATCCAGTCTAGGAAATGACCTAGAACAAGAATGTCAATAGTGAATTAATTAAGGTTGTATAGATGAGCAGAAATAAAGTAAAATCTAACATTAAAGAAAAACAAAACGGAAAGTAGTCATAACCGAACTATTGGTATCTATGATCTCAGACCAAGGATTTCACTTATCTACTATTTAGTAAGCTCAAAAAATTCAAACAAATTGTGGTATGTCTAAATCAGAATTTACGCGCAGGTCATTCCAACGAATATATATGTATGTTGAGAAATATGATGAACAATAACAACATAGGTATGGTATTAGTTAGGTTGTGTTTCTAGAATGACAAGAGGTAAGCGAAACGAAATGCTTTTCATCCCGTCAGTAGTACTAGAAACTCTCACTGTTTAATCTTATTTCGACGCAGTTTAGAATGGCAAAAAAGGTTAAAGTCATGCTAAATCATGTTTTGTGTATTCCTTCGTAGGAGCTTGACTTATAATTATAATTATAAGTCAATCCCCGAGAACAGTTCTGTCCAACGAATCGAAGGCGGCCCTGATGTCAAGAAACACCACGATTGTTGGTCCGTGATAACTATATGGCGGTGTTCTAACATTTGGCGGAGAGTTAAGATATGATCAATGCATCCTCGACCAGAACGAAAACCAGCCTGCTCCTCGCGAGTCAATTTTTCTCGGGTTTCGAACAATCTACGAAGTATGACGGAAGCCAATAGCTTGGACGCAATCGGAAGTAGACTTACCCCCTGATAGCTGGTACAGGAACAATGTGAACTTTTAAAGATAGGGACAACTATCGACTCATCCCATGACGCTGGTACACTCTCTAGCCCCCAGACCTTTGTAAACAGCGTCGTCAGTTCCTTAGCCAGAAAGTCACCACCATCTTTAAAAAGAGCCGGAGGTAAGTCATCTGGGCCAGGTGATTTGTAGCGCTTCAAGAGTTGGAGTTCCTTGCGGACTTTCCACTCATTTGGTGGATCACTCGTCACCGGCCATGGAGGGCAGGACAGTCCGACCGATGTTGCTGAAGCAACGGGCCAGTTGAACTGCCCTTCGAAGGATTCTGCTCATCGTCCAAGACGTCGACGGATGTTAGTGATTGGCATTCCATCATCCTCGCAGATTGTTTCGCTCACACCAGACTTCTTGCTGCCAGTGGCTTGGATGAGTTGGAAGAGCTTCTGGCAGTTACCAGATGCAGGTGCTGCCTCCAGCTCATTAGCACGCTTCGACCATCAGGCTTCTCAGTCCTTGCGCAAGCTTTGCCCAATTTCCTTACGTAACACCCTTCGTTTGTGGTCAAACTCACGGTCACCCGGAGTAGACCGACGTGCTTCAATGAGTTGTAAGGAGCCAGAAGAAACTCAGTGCTTATAAGCGGGACGTTTCGCGAAGCCGCAAGCGGCTTTACTCGCCATTTTGATGGAGTCATGAAGTTGTAACCAATGCTCATCTATACCTTTCGGTGGAATGATAGCTAGCTCAATTCGATAATTAGTTGCAACAAAAGTTGCAAACAACTTGTTGACATCAATCCTTTGGTGGCGGTCACTTCGTTGGCCAATGAAAAGTAAGGCAAGATTGGCGCAGACCAAGGCATGGTCAGAGTCCAGATAGGTACTCCAAAAGGAGCGGCAGTCTTGTACACAACCACGCCAGCGGTAGCTGATCGTGATGTGATCAATCTGAATACAGGCTTGAGATGCAGAGGGAGGACGCCAGGTGGCACATCGGTAATGACTGTGCCGAAAGTTGATGCTAGCCAGAAACAGGTTATGGTCTGTGCAAAATTGCAGTAGACGGTCCCCGTTATCTGTCCTGCGACCAACAAGTCCCCATCGGCCACCTAAATGACTCTCTTCTGTGCCTAGACGCCCGACCTGAGCATTCAAGTCTCCGGCTAGTACTACAATATCTGTCGAACGCACTTTATGGAGAAGAATAGATAACTGGTGGTAAAACTCATTCTTGATTGCATCCGGGCTGTAATCTGTCGAGGCATAGGCGGAGGTGTCGAAAAGATATCATTTCTCACGCCGATCTCTTCTCACTTTGATGGAACTTTCTAATCTAACAGCACGTAACCGACTGTTAATGGGGATCCAATCGATTAGTTCTGCCTCAGCTCTACAGCTTAGTGCGACACCAACGCCAGCATGACCAGACAAAGATGCTACAGGGTCCCCAGATAAACGCACGCAAAACAAGCTTTTCGAAGCGACAGATGAAGAGCGAATTTGTAGTACTTCACTAGAGTCTTCAATAAGGGTCTCGGATAGACAGAAGACATCGATATTAAGACTTTCTAAAGACATTGACAGCCCTATCAGTTGTCCGACCATCATAAGTGTGCGAACGTTGAAGGCAGCCAGTTTGAATGGTGCACGTGGTTTCAGGGAAACTGCTTCAGTCCTCGTATTCGGTGGTAACATACAATTTTCAACCGGACGGTGACTCGAGAACGTTTAGATAGAGTCGGATTTCCACCAAAGACGAGCCGCTGTATAAGTATAAAAGAGGGTGAATAATGTAGCAAATAATAATAATAATCGTAATCATTTGATTGTTAATTGAAGCAAGTAAAGTAGTTTCCATAATTATAGGCAGTTCATCATATTTGTGTGTGAGCTGTGGTACTGCCCGGGTGCCCAGACCGAAGCAGGTGGTTTTCTTAGGAGGCCACACCCCGAGCCTTTGACCTAAAAGTCTGACCCACAAGGAAGTGGAGCATCGTAAGGAGATGCAGTCCCATGGTAGCCGATGACCAACGATTGGTTCATACGCCATTTGTTCCCGCAGGATACTGGAGTCCATGTGCACAATTGGTTTGGGATCCGGTTAAAGCGCCGGACATTCGCTTTTCTTCCTCTCATTTTCGTAAACAACACCCCCACCACGAGAAGGCAGTGAATAGGACTTCCCTGGCAGAGGCTGTGTACGCGTGGCCGTGTGAGAGCATTTCGAGAGGGAGGGCGGGCCCACCGTTCTCTCGGCCATACCAGGGCCTTTGGGGGCAACAAGTACAGAACTAACACGAAAACGTCGTATATGACTGACCTCAAGCAGTTATTTCTTGGCTACTGCGGTCATGCTCTCAGGTCACTAAGACCACCTCTAACCCAATTTCCTTCTCAGGTAACTCTAGAAGGACCCTTCGACGGTGTGGGCGACCGGGAAGTGATAACCGCCTTCACATCTCTAACAACATTCAAGATCACTGTATTTATAGTCAATCTCCCTATTTGATTCCCATTACTCCCCCTACCTCGACTATCAACTCTATAATTCCTCCTCCAGTGTCGCCATGGTCAAGGATTTTAGTGCACGAAACACTATCCTAGGTCTACTGAAACCTCTCTCCAAACTACACATTGGAGCCTTCAACGTACGCTCCCTGTGTCAAATCGACCAGCAGGCCTTCTTGGCTAAGACCCTAGAATTTTGTACCATTAATGTATGCCGTATCTCCGAAACACGCATACAGGATCCTAGTGCATTCATTCACTTAACCTCACTTCGCCAAAACGGAGAGCCGACGGGATACACCCTCCGCGTATCTGGATACCCGAGAGCAATTCCTCGTGGACTGGTGGGTGTAAATATAGCACTAAGTATAAGGGCAGAAGAAGCACTATTAGAATGGATCTCCGTTAACAATTGCTTACATGCTGTTCGGCTAAACGGCTCCATAAGAACTCGGAAGGACAGGGACACACATCGTCGCCTTTTCATCATTTCTGCCTACGCTCCCACTGACTACAGCCCGGATGAAATGAAAGATGAATTTTACAGAAAGCTTTCTTAACTTCTTCAAAAAGCTAAACGCTCAGACAGTACTCGTAGCAGATGACTTTAATGCCCAAGTAGGTAGCTTAAACCAAGCAGAAAGACATTTAGGTGGGTATTTTAGTATTCCGGCTCAGCGAACAGATAATGGTGATCGCCTACTGCAAATGTGCGCAGACAATCGTTTATTTTTAGCAATCACTAATCTTAAGTATAAGGAGAGACATTGTCTGACGTGGTGACTCCCTGCACCAAGCCAACGGTGGACTGAAATAGACTACGTTGCCATAAGTCATCGTTGGAGAGCATTTCGAAAGAAGCTTACTCTCCGCATCCTCGACCGTACCGTGAGGCTAAAATTAATTTATACCTTTCTTTCTATAAACTTTTTCTTTATTCTTGTATTATATCTTCATATGCAATCTTTCTTTTATATATTACCACTACTGAAGTAACTACTTCTACAAATTTGGTGACCATCTTGTTGTGCTAATGAGGTGTTGCAACTTGAACCGATACGTATATGTGCCTGGTACTACAATGTAATTGACTGACTGACTGATGCTAGTAGTAGTCTATTCCTAATTAATAGCGATGTGATGTGTGTACTAATTAAACTCCGAATAAGTTCAGTAGAATGATTTTAGCAGTTGGAAGTAGCTGAAATTTATGTCTTTCCAAATGATTTACTGATATGCAAATAATTTTATACTTTACTTTTGTGTTCCTGATAATAAAGACAATACCATCAAAGTAAACTCAAGGAATGTGTTGAGTTTCAGTTAATACCTCTTGATCAGGAATCAAACACAAGGGGTTTAGGTATCGAGGCGAGGGGATTACCCTTAGGATAATAAGTTGCAACTCAATTGTCTATATTTCTAACTCTAGCCAGTTACCTATGTAGCGCAATCATCGTTCAATATCATTTGTGGTAACAACTTCACTACCGACAGATATGACTGAACTCTATTAGTCATGACTTCTTATCTCTACCTTGAAGTTAACCGCTGGGATGCATAAAACTTATTTAGTTGGCTAAATGGTCACGAGGTTTAATCGATTCGACAAAAAAACATTGGAAGTTCGCAATTTTTATCGAGTAATTCACTACAAGAAAGAATTGTTGAATTTTTAAATTAGGATTCGTATAATAATTTAGCAATTAAAGACTATTTATCAAATTGAATTTTGCGTTTTAAACATACCGTATTTTACTAGCGGATTGAGCGTATACAGCTAAAGTTTGTATGTCTAATAACATTTGACCACGTCCTTCATCTGAACATTGTTGTACACGACTTAAAGCTTCAAGTAATTGTGATGCCAAACAAGATAATAATGCTTTCCAAATAACAATCATAAATACATGGTCTTGTAAATGAAATTCTTTTGATATGTTCTGTAAAATTAATGATAAAGGATGAAATACATTAATATTTATATCATAAACATATGGATTTGGTGTGTTAGCCACTTCTTTAGTTGACCAATTCATTGCACATATATGCATAGTTAATATTTCAATTGAATCGGAAGAAGTTGATACAATTAAGTTGTTATGTACTGATGATGGAGATGGTGAGCTTGTACTGTTATTATTATTTGGAATAGATGGTTCTTTGTCGATAGTTTGTTGTTGCTGATTTGTATTGGATCCTATTGGCCATATTTTACTGAAACTTGAAGTAATCGATGCACTATTTGTTGCTGTTAACTGCTTACAATTTTTTGTTGCCACACCAGTCATTCTAAAGCGATATAAAAACAAATTTTTTATGATTATAACAATTCGAATTTAAATCTTTGATAAATTTGGCTAGTAAATAGTTCTTGTTAGTTACAGATAGCTATATGGTTAGAATAATCCCAAGTAAGAGTGGATTAGTCCCGTTTTTTATATAGATGGTCAAACTTATTTTGAAACCATTTAAGTCAACAAAACGTTTAGTTATATATATCATAGTGACAAAATCCAGCTAATTGGATGGAACTCCTGTTTGTTTGAGTCCTACCATACACGGAAATTCAGTTGGAGAATGTTAAAACTAAAAAAAATAATTGAGGCACGTTGGTGGATTTTTACGACTGACTATACTAGGTTGTGACGCCGGTAAGGAATTTCCTTCGGATAATATTGTATCACCAGAGATGTTATTAGTGATACAATATTGTCCAAAGGAAATTCCTTACCGGCGTCACAACCTAGTATAGTCAGTAGTAGAAATCCACCAATGTGCCTCAATTATTTTTTTAGTTTTAACATTCTCCAACTGAATTTCCGTGTATGGTAGGACTCAAACAAACAGAGATGTTATTAACTCCGCCTGGAGTCCCTCCGGGGGCTACTGCCGGTCCCAAGCCCGGATAAAGGAGGAGGGTTGGGCATGGGGTTAGCGTCCCCATCCCGTAGAAAACTAACTCGCTAAAAAAACGCTAACCAGAAAAAATTATTCAAACCTTTTAAACTCTGCCCTGGGAGTCAGAAGGTCTTCACTTAGAAGAATTATGACGCCTCATGATGAAAGCCGAATTCCTTCGGAAGTTACGAGGCCGATGCCCCTTCTGACAACCAGAGCAACCATTTATTTAGGTACATGGAATGTTCGTACAATGTGGGACACCGGAAGAGCCTTCCAGATTGCTGCAGAAATGAGAAGATACAACCTAGAGGTACTTGGGATCAGTGAAACACATTGGACACAAGTTGGACAACAACGACTAACTACAGGAGAGCTCCTGTTATACTCCGGCCATGAAGAAGAAAATGCACCACATACACAAGGAGTTGCATTGATGCTGTCCAAACAAGCGCAAAATGCGCTTATAGGATGGGAATCTCATGGACCAAGGATCATCAAAGCCTCCTTCAAAACAAAGAAAGAGGGCATTTCAATGAACATCATCCAATGCTATGCGCCTACCAACGACTATAATGAAGACGCTAAAGATCAATTCTACAATAGGCTGCAGTCAATCGTCGAGAAGTGCCCAACAAAGGACCTGACCATTCTGATGGGAGATTTCAACGCCAAGGTTGGAACGGACAACACTGGATATGAAGACATCATGGGACGACACGGACTAGGAGAAAGAAACGAAAATGGTGAGAGATTTGCAAATCTATGTGCCTTCAATAAGCTGGTCATAGGCGGCACCGTATTCCCACATAAACGCATACACAAAACCACATGGACTTCACCGGATCACTCTACACAAAACCAAATCGACCATATTTGTATCAACAAAACGTTCAGGAGGACTATAGAGGACGTGAGAACCAAGAGAGGAGCTGATATAGCATCAGATCATCACTTACTGGTCGCCAAGATGAAATTGAAACTCAAGAAGCACTGGACAACGGGGCAGACAGTATCACAAAAGTTCAATACGGCCTTTCTCCAGGATACTAACAAACTCAACAAATTCAAGATAGTCCTCAGCAACAAGTTCCAGGCCTTTCATGATCTACTCAATGGAGAAGGAACTACTGTGGAGAGCAACTGGAAGGGGATCAAAGAGGCAATCACTTCAACATGTCATGAGGTCCTGGGTCACAAGAAGCACAATCACAAGGAATGGATCACTGTTGGTACACTGGATAAGATTCAAGAAAGGAGGAACAAGAAGGCAGCGATCAATACCTGTCGAACAAGAGCAGAAAAAGCCAAGGCACAAGCTGAATACACGGAAATAAACAAACAAGTGAAGAGGAGCATCAGAACCGACAAACGTAAATATGTGGAAGATTTAGCAACGACGGCGGAAAAGGCTGCAAGAGAAGGAAACATGAGACAATTGTATGACACGACAAAGAAACTCTCTGGAAATCGCCACAAACCAGAACAACCAGTGAAAAGCAACGCAGGCAAGGTAATCACCAACATTGAAGAGCAACAAAACAGGTGGGTAGAACACTTCAAAGAACTGTTGAATCGACCAGCTCCACTGAACCCACCCAACATCGAAGCAGCACCCACGGACCTCCCAATCAATGTTGGCCCACCAACAATTGAAGAAATCAGCATGGCCATCAGACAAATCAAGAGTGGCAAAGCAGCAGGACCGGACAACATCCCAGCTGAGGCACTAAAAGCAGACGTAGCGGCAACTGCAAGGATACTCCACATTCTCTTCAATAAGATTTGGGATGAGGAACAAGTACCAACAGACTGGAAAGAAGGACTTCTAATCAAAATACCGAAGAAAGGCGATCTCAGCAAGTGTGATAACTACAGGGGCATCACTCTTCTCTCAATACCGGGAAAAGTCTTCAACAGGGTATTGTTAAACAGGATGAAGGACTGCGTAGACGCCCAACTTCGAGACCAACAGGCAGGATTCCGTAAGGATAGATCGTGTACAGACCAAATCGCAACTCTACGGATAATTGTGGAACAATCAATTGAATGGAATTCATCACTCTACATCAACTTCATTGACTACGAAAAGGCATTTGACAGCGTGGACAGAACAACACTATGGAAACTTCTTCGACACTACGGCGTGCCTCAGAAAATAGTCAATATCATACAGAACTCATATGATGGATTAAACTGCAAAATTGTGCATGGAGGACAGTTGACAAAGTCATTCGAAGTGAAGACCGGTGTTAGGCAAGGTTGCTTACTCTCACCCTTTCTCTTTCTCCTGGTGATCGACTGGATCATGAAGACGTCAACGTCTGAAGGGAAGCGCGGGATACAATGGACATCTAGGATGCAGTTGGATGATCTAGACTTCGCAGACGATCTGGCCCTTCTATCCCAAACGCAACAACAGATGCAGGAGAAGACAAACAGTGTGGCAGCAGCCTCAGCAGCAGTAGGTCTCAACATACACAAAGGGAAAAGCAGGATTCTCCGATACAAGACAGCATGCACCAATCCAATCACAATTGACGGAGAAGATTTGGAAGATGTTAAAACCTTTACATATTTGGGCAGCATCATTGATGAACAGGGTGGATCTGATGCAGATGTGAAGGCGCGGATCGGCAAAGCAAGAGCAGCATATTTACAACTGAGGAACATCTGGAACTCAAAGCAACTGTCAACCAACATCAAGGTCAGGATTTTCAATACAAATGTCAAGACAGTTCTACTGTATGGGGCAGAAACCTGGAGAACTACAAAAGCCATCATCCAGAAAATACAGGTGTTTATTAACAGTTGTTTACGCAAAATACTTCAGATCCATTGGCCGGACACTATTAGCAACAACGTACTGTGGGAGAGAACAAACCAGATCCCAGTGGAGGAAGAAATCAGGAAGAAGCGCTGGAAGTGGATAGGACACACATTGAGGAAAGCACCCAACTGCGTCACAAGACAAGCCCTCACATGGAATCCTCAAGGCCAAAGGAGAAGAGGAAGACCAAAGAACACATTACGCCGAGAATTGGAGATAGACATGAGAAAAATGAACAAGAATTGGATGGAACTAGAAAAGAAGGCCCAGGACAGAGTGGGTTGGAGAATGCTGGTCAGCGGCCTATGCTCCATTGGGAGTAACAGGCGTAAGTAAGTAAGTAAAGTAAGAGATGTTATTGTCTTCACATAACAAATAAAAATAGAAAAAATAGGTCCTGAAAATAACAAAACTTACTGCACGAATTTTCGTCGTCCGAGTTCAGGCTAACGCACCTCTAGAACTCTCAAAATGTTCTCCGTGTGATGACCTTCACATAGTTGTACCTTGGATACTACTTTTGTGACGCTTCTGAGCTACTAAGGTCAGAAGCAGTAGTTCAGTTTCTCCTCCAGGTACCTCAGAAATGAGTATCATTTTATGGTGTGTAGAATTGGGAAGTGAAAAAATCCAAACTCACATTGTTCGTGATACATAAATATAATTCACACACGACCAACTTACTTTGCGATTATGATATTCAGCAAATGTGGTGCCAGTTCGTTTGCACATGGTTCGCGGATTTGTCTTGCTGCCATCAAAGACTGTTCACGAAATACAAGTGCTAGACCACGTTTATTATCTGGAAGACATGCTGTTAAATGCGGAAGAAGAACCTGAAAGGATATATTACCCGAAAGTGTATTACTTTTGCTTTTGTTTTCTTAAAACAATACATTACTGATATGTATGTAGAAGTTTTTGACATTCAGAACAATTAATAATAATAATCACTTAAATAACTACTAAGTATGCATTGGTTTGACTTCCTTCGTAAAAAGTAAATAGGAAAAAGCAGTATTAACCCTGTCTTTGAGTAGCTCGTTTACCAAGCACATATTTGTGTAATACCACAACCTATGAACAGACACACATTTAAGTGACAAATCGTCAGAAATACTTAGATTGACTGATGGATATACATATACACCACTGGATTTTAGTTCGGTGAACTAAGGGCTATGATCTCGTGTGCGATAGTGAAGGTCCTGAGTTCGATATCTAGGGGCGGAGCCGCGGATCCACACTTCTGAGGATTCCCACACTAGGCCAAGACAGCTATCTGACGTGCTTCAAGGTTTTCAATAGTAATCCAACAAAGGTCAATGCGTGATTTAATCTATGATAGATAGTTATCCAAGCGAAACATTAAAAGCGGATTTAAAGTAAAAATTCTTCCAGGTCATATGTCACCTAATAACATCGAATTCTATCAAAACTTAATTCACGGTCGTTCTCTATCGCAAACAATAATCAAAGTGACATGTTCATAGAAATAAATATTATAATGATGAACTTACTGTCTCTAAAATGTCTGCCAGGAAAATAACTGACTCAACTGCGACGACGTAAATTTGTATTAATTGGTGTTCACGTTTATTAATATTATCATCTCCGATTGTCGGATTATTGTCAGTAGGATTTAATGTATGCAATAATTCAATAGGTCCATGTAAAGGAAGGGAAAATCGATCCTACAGCAATGTAATTATTGAAAAAATAAAAACAAACCTAAAAATGAATTGAATTATGGTATACAGTAATATTTGTACAAAAGAATGTCTCAAGAATCCTCAAAGCTCAAATCACGAACTCATTTCAAATAAACCACCATTGAAACCTGGAAGCACTGGACGGTCGTTTCATCCTAGTATGTGTTCGTGCGTGAGACTGAAGATCCTGGGTTAAATTTCTGGTGCCAGGATCCTGGATGCTCACTAATGGAGAGTCCCATTTCGGGATAAAGCATCTGTATAATCCTCTCAGATTTTCATTGAGGGTGTAGCTAAGATCAGTTTGTGGTTTAGACTGAAAGTTCTACGATTTCCACAAAACCCTATACTTAGAATGTTTTAAGTTAGGAAAAAATTAATCAACTCACTACATACAAACCTTAATAACTCAGCACAGTTCACGTATCGACATTGAGTCACAGTCTATAGTGTGTTTGTATGTGAGAGATTATGACGTAACCTGCCTGCTCAAACCGAAGAAGGATTTTGAAGCACACAAATTATAGACCTCTGATAAGTTAGCTAAAAGAATAGATGAAGCACAAAGGAATTCAAACTGACATTTTTGGCCAGTAAACTTCAGTATTCCTAGTGTTACGTATTTGATCTTATCAAATATGATACATCTAGTACTTGAACACTTGATAGTAACATTCTAAATGCCGCTAATTCCTTAGGTTCTCCAGTTCTTGAACTTCAAGCTGAAGATAAAGGTCCGGAAGTATGAAAAGAAGCTTTACCTCCAAGGTTAGTTTGCGCACAGGAAACAGGGGTATATTTATACGGCAATGGGTGACTTTGATATTCTATGCGTTTTTGGGTTTTTCAATACTTTCAGTTAGTTACTAGTACCTCAATAAAGCGGCTCGGAACGCACGTTTCGCCCCATTTGGTGCTCGTCAGCTGGATGTGCCCATCATATTCCAATGTTCCCACTGAGACGTGAATGAAGGTGTAGGTTTGTTAAGAGATGAAGTATATTCATTAGCTGAATACAGACCAAAATTATTAATTGTACATAAAAGAAGTTACGTAACAATATAGACTTTTCAAATGAAACGAAATATAATCAAAAAGACATGAAAAACTTAATAAACTAAACAAGCGTAAAGCAAAACGTTAAGAGAATGAAAAAGAGTGGGGGAAAGTAATAATAATGGAAAACAGTATGAAACGTAAAAAGCATTCGTTGATTAACTAACTAACCCCGGTTAAAATACTTTGATGATTATCAGTTGTTATTAAACGTTCATTGATACGTTTTATTGTTGTCCGTAAACGTTCTGGAAATTCAGATGAATTTGATATCTAATAGAGGAAATGAAAAAAAGAAACATTTAATATTTTCAATTTGGTAATAGTAAAATCGAATGATTTTCAACAACGAAAATGAGAACAAGGTTAGCAAGTGGAATAAAAAATATGTACCTACTTGATTAATTAGACTGTGATCATTGAAGATAAAAAAACTGATTCAGTTTAATTTGTAATGGGTTTGGAACACGCGGTTTCGATATGTTTAACTGAAATTTGAACAGTCTTGGTTGGTATACGTGGATCCTGAGCAAGTTCTTTAAATATAGTCATTATGATACAAATCCATACATAATAGATGTAATGTGGCTAGTAACGGAGTCCAAAAAAATGCGTTTCGTCCTATTTGGAACTCTTCAGGTTGTTGTAACTGCTAAATAGAACCAATCAAATTTCAGTCGAAATATCAAAAACATGATAATTCAAACCAATACAAACTAAAGTTCGTATCGATTCCACAAGTGCGTTGCTGGCTATCTCAACTTAGTATCTAAGTGGGAAGTGCGTACGACGTTTGAAATGAAAGGTACTGAGGTGCAGGTACATCGAGCTGACGAGTCACAAATGGGGCGAAACGGATGTCTTGGGTTCCATCTCGAATCACATTATTTCCGTTCTATATAAACATAATTCAATGTTCTTCAGTTTTTAGTGGTTCTCTCAGATGACATCAACAAGTGATGAAAATTGACATCGAATAGTATTAAACCAGAGTTTCAGTTAAAAAATACAATTGAAAAAACGAGTGATAACTAGTGCTAACTGCTTCAAAAACAGGGTAAATTGCTCAATAGGATTTTACTCAGATCACTTGGCCGTACGTGATAAGACATGGAAATCAGTAAACTTCTATCCTCATCATCTAATTACAACGTGAATTAATTTAATGATAAATTAGGCTAATCTTTCTATCAAACATCAGATTTATAATTTAATGGTTAAAAATATAAATCTGACTATTATAATATTACATTTTCTTTTATTTATAGATATTCAAGTTGAGTAACAACTATAATAGACGAGGTTATCCACAATGTTTTCAATGTCCAATGAGTGTGTGTTGTATCCAACGGTTTCAATATAATTCTCTTTACATTTATGATTTTCATCCATCATGTTAAAAGGCGCTACATAGGCTTGTCCATGGTAGACAGTGGCGGACAGCTTTCAAACGCTTGAAATAAATTCTTAATGCAGCATATCTCCAATAAATGAAAGGAAAAATTACTGAAAGTGTTAGATACAACAGACTTATTGAACATTGAAAACAGCGTACATATAATTTCAACCAAAACAATTACAGTAAAATAACAACTTCAGATAATCAATAATTTATAATTTATTTAAAAACACAAACATCGGTACAGGGAGGCACGAAATATATATGCGTCACACAAATCATTTGGTTTGTGTGAGGGCTGGAATACTGCCCGTGTGCCCAAACCAAAGCACCTGGTTTTCTTAAGGGAACACTTCCCAAGCCTTTGACCTAGGGGCATAATCCATAAGGCAGTGGAGCGACGTTGAGAGATGCAGCCCCATGGTAGCCAGTAGTCAACAATAGGTTCCCAAACCATTTGTTCCCTCAGGATCCTGGAGCCCATGTGCACCAGTGGTTTGGAATCAGTTTTCAAACTCTGTTAGATGTATCTTCGATATCCACCAACCGGGTTAAGGCACCGGACATTCGCTTTTCGTTCTCTCAACTTCGTGAACAACACCCCCGCCACGAGAAAGAAGTGGGCAGAGCATTCCTGGCAGTAGCAGTATATGTATGGCCATGTGAGAGCATTTTAAGAGGAACAGCTGACTCTTTCCACCCTCGGCCGTACCAGGGCACAGATATTGAAGAAAAGAGGAACACAGCAATTAATAAATGATCACTTATACACAATGAAAAGAGAAGAATGATGTCGAATTCACACACTTACTTGAATAGGACCAAATAGATTAAGAATCTAGAAATGGGAATTAATTTTATAAAAAAGAAATCCATAAAATGCATTTTATAGAAACATAAAATTTCTATAAATATACACAATTTATATGATTATATTATATACTTAATAAAATCACAATTTATCAAGATTTGTTTTCACTAAAATTAAACTCTATTAAGTCGTTAAATATTGAATAAACTGTATATCATTCAATTGGTAAACCCAGTGTTGTTCAATATTGAACTGTATCAAAAACCCTAAATATATGAACTACTGATTTTACGATTGTTTTCAGAAATAAATACATTTTCCTTGTACAAACACTAAGTTTTCAGTATAACTTTGTGAATTATCGTCATCTTACTAATCGATTTATAAGTTCGGGGTAACTTGACTTTAAATTGATCTTTACAATTAAGGATTATTTGATACTATCTGACATTCAGGCAACAGTAGACAGAGAAAGACTCAAACATAAGGTCCAATCATGGAAATCTCATTCCATGAACAATTTAACCAAAGTTTCATATACTTTGATCTTAGCATCTGTTCAACATAACCGTAACCCATGCAATATTGTTCATTTGAATAGATGGTGGTTCACTATGTATACAACACATACTTCTAGTCAATGAAAGTTTACGATCTCATTAGCTGGATGTATGTTCCTTGATTATATAAAGAGTGCTGGAGACATACATACGTACTTACCTACTTACTAACGTCTGTTACCCCTCGTCGACGAACATAGGCCACCCACCAGGTCTCTCTATCCAACCCTGTCCTGGGCAATCGTTTCCAGTTGCTATTCATCCTTTTCATGTCTGCTTCCAATTCTCGATGTGTGTGTTCTTCGGCCTTCCACTTTTCCGTCATTTCTTTGCCAATCTCCGTCTTTACGTCGGCATCGGATCCCCCTTGTTCATCGATGGTGCTTCCCAGGTATGTAATAGATTCCACATCCTCCAGAGCTTCTCCATTGAGTTGGTGTTCTCCGTGTTGTATTTGAGGACCTTGCTTTTTCCCTTGTGTATGTTGAGGTTGCTGCTAAACTAGTTGTCTTCATCTGCATATGTTTATATGTATCGCATAGAACCAGGACATCTGCGAAGTCCAAATCGTCTACTTGGTTCTGAGCTGTCCATTGTGGTCCATGCTTTCCCTCAGATGTCGAGGTCTTCCCAAATCCAGTCGACCTACAGAAGAAAGAGAAATGGTGAGAGTAGGCAGCCTTGTTTGATTCCGGTCTTGGAATGCATCTGTCAGCAGGCTACCATGCACCACCTTGCATTGTAGTCCATCAGATGAGTTCTTGATTATGTTGACGATCTTCTCAGCAACTCCATAGTATAGAATAAGTTTACATAATGTCCTCCTATCCACACTGTCTAATGTTTTCTCATTGTCAATGAATTTGATGTAAAAAGACGAGGTCCACTTAACTGATTGTTAAACAATGATGCGTAGGGTCATGATTTGGTTCGTACACAACCGATCCTTACGGAATCCAGCCTGCTGGTCTCGAAGTTGCGCATCTACTGCGTCTTTCATCCAACTCAGCAACACTCTGTTGAAAACGTTTCCTGGTACTGATAGTAGTGTGATTCCTCTGTAGTTTCCACATTTACTCAGATCTCCTTTCTTCGCTATCGTAATGAAGTGTCCTTCTTTACAGTCCGTTGGCACTTGTTCTTCTTCCCAAATCTCCCTGAATAGAGCGTGAATCACGTTTCCAATTACCTCTATGTCTGACTTCAGAGATTCAGTTGGTATATTGTCAGGTCCTTCTGCTTTCTCACTCTTGATTTGTCTGATGGCCATCCTGGCTTCTTCTGTCGTTTGTGGAGTGACATCTATATGAAGATCTGTGTGTTGCTTCGATGTCCAGTGTTTTCAGCGAAGCTGGTCTATTCTCGAGTTCCTCGAAGCATTTTACCCATCTGTTCCTTTGTTCTTGAATCTCGGTGATTGGTTTGCCTTCCTTGTCCTTGATTTACTTGGTTCACTATATTTTCCTGTTAGTTTCTTCGGCGTGTCATATAGTCAGTCAGTCAGTTACATCGTAGGACCATGAACATACATGCATCGATCCAAGTTGCCATATTTCGTTAGCACAACAAGACGAACACGGAATTCACAGAAGTAGTTGATTCAATGGTGGTAATATATTTTCCTCTCTTGAAGAGTTTTTCGCTCTTCCACGTATTTCAGTTAAATTATATTAGTACCCCAAACTGAATTCTTGATAAAATGCCCTAATCGCTGTTTAGACAGCAGAATGTCATAACATGTGAAACACTAAACAGAAAGGAGACAAATACTGAAAAATATAAAGTTATTATTAGTATGGGGATTGCGGAGACTGCTGAACTTCAGTGGAATTGTAAACCAATCGAAGTTAAACAACCATTGGAAACCTGGAACCATATTGGACAGCTATTTCATTCTATCATGGGACTTCTCAACGGTACACCTACACGACGTAAAGACTTCAATAGTCATGTGCTCACAAGGGAATAGCTTCGAGGGCAAATTTACAGAGTTCTAGGGGAAACCGTGACTAGTGGAGTTTAACCGTATCGGATTTGAGGAAGGTGATCAGTGAAGATAATGGATGATGACTACGCATAACTCACGTTTGAATGGAATTAAACTTGTCTACCGTAGGTGCCTGATTTAGTTGTTCATAGGTTAAACGCTCGCTCATGAGACCGAAGATGCTAAGTCTGGTCTCCGGTAGCAGATTCGTGAATGCGCACTGCTGAGAAGTACCATGCTAAGATGAACCATCTGTCTAATCCATCCAGGTTTTGAATAGTTACCTAACTTAAATTGGTTCGGGATCTCAATATAAAATTATTAATTACTGATTTGCAACCAATGTCATGTTTGTTTAGCTCTTTAGCGCTAATCCATTTTTTTCGATCAAACTGAAATACAACTACCATTTTCAGTGACTTCAAGTCATGTATATTATATCTTTTATCCTCAGTTGTTTGGAGGTGATCAATGAGAAACCTTGTTATTAGGTTTTGTGCCGAGTGCATACGATCTTGAGGGAATTCGTGATTCCCACCTGATTCAATAAGCACTAGGGATTGCCCTCTTACAATCATTCAGTGTCAATACCTCATATCTACAGGAGGTTGATAACGACTCGAATCCCTCAGTCGTATTGAGCATCAGCTAGCGCGATAGCTTTGGTTCGAAAAACTGTCCCAAGTTGCTGCCAACCATTCAGTGAGTAAAAAAATATTTTTTTATTGTTAAATAATCGCTTTCCACTTACAGAGTACAAATAATAATCAAATACTTGACATAGACAATGCATTACTTCACCAGCAATCGGCTTTAAAAGTCTCATCATTTGCAAGTAACGACCTATTACAGAACAAAACAAAAATAAGGACAAATTACTAGGTATTCAATAATTAAACATGAAAAGTTTGGTTGGGTTCAAGTGATAAGTCGATATCGCTTGAGTGCTTTCTGTCTCTCTCTCCCCCTCTGTCACGTGACACATTTGAATTCAATACGTTGACCGTTTGGTGAAAACCAGTTATAGACCAGAACAAAACTTTACCACTAATATGCAATACAGAGTAGTAAGCAGTATCAAAGTGAGATGCATTTTACAATATAAAAGTCTCTTATATAATGTAGCCGGATAAGTCTGTTTTCAATTCCTGACCAATCACATGTCATTCTGGACACATACGTATACCATGTTAGTATTATGTAGGGACGCATTATACATATTGTATGCTATAAAAGGTGTATGGAGCAGAAAGATTATGAGACTGCGAAAAGGTAGTTGGTGCTGTTTTGCTTCATAGTTCAACAACTATCTACTTAATTCCAACTACATCCAACCTCATGATTATAATATTTGTCGGAAAGTTTTGTTCAAACACTGAAAAGTCTAATGGTTTTTTTAGGTGGTGTGGCTGAAAGCGGCCATTAACAACCCACATTGGGCCTAACATTTACGCTATTTAGCACTAGTTAGTAAAGTGTATCTGTAATTTCGAGGAGTTTAATATTATTACATAGAGTTGAATCCATGTTACTTAGTGTCATATATAAAGGAGCTAACTCCAAGCTATTTAGTCTACAACTGATCCGCTGTACGATTAAATATCAAAACTAATTGACTAAAAAAATAGTGAAAAATTCCATGCTTACACTTAGTCTTCATTGAATTCTATCAATCTGAATGTGAAATGTAGTTACTAATTCAAAGTGATTTTCCCTGATTTAAGGCGACTGCAAACAAACGAAAGGAATGATGGAATTTGTCGCATTCGTGCTGGCCACCACCTGAATATATATATATATATATATATATATATATATATATAAGCTTAACCATGTCGTGTGTGAGGCAGATGTTCACAGAAAACAATCGAAGATAGTCACTCGATATCTTGGATCGACTACACTTGGACATTAACATCGTTGGACACCACCTCACCGGTCTAGAGGTAAAGGGGTTGGCGAGCGAGACCGAAGGCCCTGGTTTCATCTCCTGGATGTAGGGTCGCGAATATGTATTACTAAGGAGTCCCATACTAAAAAAAATGGACATCCAGTACTTCCAGGTTTTTAATATTGGTCAAAATTAGATCGGTTCAGGATTTTAATGAAGTTCAACTATCTCCTATGCTTACAAAAAGAAAATCATTTACGATAGTGAGTAGTAAACAGTAAACTAAAATCAAATAACTGTAATACGATAAGAGAAATATCACGTCATATTAATCAGATTGAAATCATGAGTCAGTCGAATCCCGCGGGGTGCGGGATCGTGGATGCGCACTGCTGAGGAGTCCCGTACTAGGACGAAACGGTCGTCCAGTGCTTCCAGGTTTTCCATGGTGGTCTAGCTTCAACTGACTCATGATTTCAATCTATGAAAATAATAATTGTATAAGGTAATAAATTCCAAGTATATTAAGAACGATATACATTTAGAAGAGGGGAAGAGGTCAATGGTGAGAGAGGATTAAGTTCAAGGTCAAGGGGGCAAAATATGAACTTTACGTCATCAATTCGATCCGTAGAGTAGATGGGACGACCTTATGTTTATCAAAGGGTGTGAATATACTTTAGTTGAACGTAATCATTGTACCTTTTCTTTATTCAGTAGTAACTTGATAAATTCCATTAAAAAAAAGTAATTCTTCCTTATTTTAAACAAGTATATATAACATTCCTGTTTAGTACAATAACAACGTATGATAGTGTTGTTATTAGTATTGTTATATCTATCATAATGAATTATTTTCGAGAAATGGTAATATTTTATTGCATGATTCTGCCTAAATTCTTTAATTTTGTTATTACTAATTAACCGAAATTTATGGATCTAGAAGTTAGATGATTTGAAATAACTGTGTTATTGATTCTATATGCAAAGATTAATGATACCTATATTGAATCGCACAAGCAAAACGGAGTGGAGTTCGAATTTGTAATAAGCTAACCACTGAACTACCATTCAAAACCTGTAAGCTGAAGAAATTGATGAGAATGAGATGTATATGGATTGTTTTAAAGAAAAAGAATGTATGTTGTGGCCTCAATGGCTGAGTGGTAGCAAGACAAACTGTAACGAGGATTTGAGCTTCACTACTGGAAGCACCACTTATCTCAAGATTGTAGGAATACCTTGCTGACAAGTTTCAACTAGCGCAAAACCTAGATGCGTAGTTTCTTGTCAATTGACTCAAACGACCTAACAAAGAATGTATTTATCTGTTCCAATATAATTGATTTCGGTCCATGTTATCTTATCCGTTCCAAAATACGAATTTTGTTCACCCCATAAATAAAATTATATAGGGTGTTTCTGTAGTTCACAAACTAATAATTTACTGGCTTAATTGATTACTGGTATGTGTTTGGATAGACGCTCTTAAGGCATTCTCCTTAAACTCTCAATACTAATTAACCCAATATAACAAGCTGTGGTAAATAGTAGCTTCTCATGTGAAACATTGTCATGAATGAATATCTGTACCTTTGAAACTCTACCTATAGCCTAGAAGTTATGAACTTTATTAAACCTGATGTACACAATCAATCGACTGATCAGTGACCAATGTCATTTTCCTCTTGTCCTTCAGTTTTAATCGAATTTTATAAATTAAGTTGAAATTTAGTCACTAATCTAAGTGACTCGACACGGCGTGCAACATGTTTTGATATTAAGTATTTTGAGGTCTGAACAGATCAGTAGTATCATCCTATATTCCAAAACAGTGACTCCGATTCAAAGCTCATAGACAGCATCAATTCCTTCAAGATCTAAGGTATCTTACTGATGACGCCCAACTCGCACAAAATCAAGGTTCAGGATTTCCAGATAACTATCCTCAACCACTAAACATACCAAAGTAAAAAAGCAGTACCACAATTTAACTTAATTACTGACCTGAAGAACTTCACATAGTACGACCAATCCTGATATGCCAGGATAAACCAAACAGAACCAATACTATTTCAAGTTCAAATAGCAAAAAGGATGTTTGTTTAAGTAGGCTATTACGAGTAAGTGAATTATTTACCTAGGAAAGGTCACCACTTCCTACAAGCACCATGTCAATCAGGTAACCCACAAATATACATGAGCTGTAAAAATTACTGGTTGGTTATTAATAACAGAGCTTCCTTAACAGTTTGACCTTTTCGCACGACAAGATCAGTTAATGAAGCATCAGAGACGTAGAAGTGACTGGACCGGCTCATGGACTACAATAAATCCATTCAAGGCTTATGAAAACGAGTAAATGGTCCATTTTGACAGCGGTGTGCACGAAAAAGGAAAATAATCCAATCAAACTACCAGCTAATTGAGAACCCAAGTGTCAGTCTATAGTAATAATAGTAATGATAGTAATAATAATAATTATTATTATCACCATGTTCACATTAGCGACTAATTTCGAGTGGTAATTCCAAGATGTCTAGTAAGAAATCATGACCGATGGAGTATACTCATGTCGGGACGAAAGCACTCACCTACCAATGACATTGGATGATGGTCGCACAACATAGAGAATTAATTGAATTTAAAAATGTAAACCAGCGGATGGCAACTTAGCAGTCTAAAGGTTAAACGTTGTGAATGGACAATGCCAGACAGTTATACACTGGAGCGAAACAGTTTCAAATAGATGGTATAAATAAAATCAGTTCATGATGTTAATTAAGAAATTGATTGGTTGTGAAACATTCTCAATGGTCACTATCATCAATTAATCAATCAGTAATACTTTTAAGTGTATACCAGATGATACAGTTATAAATTAATCCTAACCCCATAATAATGCATAAAATTTAATGAATATTAGTGAATCTTTTTAAATATCAGCTTGATCGTAAGATAAAATGAGAACTCTACCATACTGATCATATGAGTCAAATATACTTTGGATAAAGGCAGTTTTGTTTTATTTTCATGGTCGTTAATACAACCCTTATATCAAGACGTATAAATTTTATATTATAAAAAAAGAATACTTAATTCCTCAGTTATGCGGATCCTAGGATGCAACAGGCCAAATAGATAATTAATTTACAAGAAGTATTTTTTTCAGCTTATTGTCACTAAAATAGTCTTTTCTGGATAGACGATTGAATGAATAGTAACACTAAAAGTAGTAGTACGAAATAGCCTTTTAAATCGCATACCATTCTACATAATAGCTAGAATAGAATAAGGCCAATACTGGAACCAAAGACGCGAATTTCTGTTTAATTGTGACTTGTCAATTGAATGTACCCGCAGAGATGTTTTAGACTTTAATACGGAAAAATATGGTTTCGAATTTCGAGAAAAGTAAGCCTCAGTGCTGTCATTTCGGTTGACTTCATCGTGAAGGAACAGTGCTTCTTGTGGGATTTAGTAAGAATCCATAGTTTGTGGTGATATTGACGATCTGAAAGCGTAACTGTAGAACCTATGGGACAAGTTAGTCATGAATAGCCATTTTCTGAGTGGCTTCTAACTTAATAGCTCTGTACTTTTCAGACCTTACCACCGAAACCGGAAATCCTTGAAGGAAGTTATATTTCAACATTTCATAGAGCAATTCTATTCTAACTTCCTTTCACTTGTGAAGAACTGAGATCGCTGAAGCTGCTGGTAATCCATAGGAAACCCTATACTATTACCACAGCCCAGGTGAAACGTCAGTACAATTTTGCATTTGTACCATAAATTTACTGCTTCAGGTTTTATAACCCACCAACCTAACCTACAAAATGTGGTATAATTTCATGCAAAATGTGTTTCAGCTAAATACAGCATCATCAGGTCAGAAAGATAGCTTCTGTTGAGAACCAGAGTGACCAATTTCACGAAGTGAAAAATAAGCTTTTTCTCCAACGATCGTCCTGAAGATACGGAATCCATACCAGATGAGGAATTTTGTCACTTACGTTTTAGATGTAGGTAATTTGTGGTTCGGAGAGGATTTTAATAGCGAATAGGCGACTGATAGACTGACAGAAAAAACATAATTAACACGGAGTGTGGTAAGGATGTGAGTCGGATTAAGATTAACACGACGAGGTGAATACAACAAGAGTGAGAAGTAATGTGGAATCAACTATAGAAAGAAATACCAGATCTTGGAATAAGGTTTCAAAAGGCAAACTGGGAATGCATGTATGAAGAAATATTAAAATTAAAGATAGTGAGTGAGATAAAGACTGTGAACGATTTTGTGCTGTGTCATCTAAAATCTCCAGTCACTCATCGCAGTTATTACGTGAAACCCAATATGGTAGTCTAGATCGATGAACATGACTCAGACCAATATTCGATGAATACATAGATTGACGTCGCATTTTGATCTGTCCATTCTAGCTATATTCCAACCTAATTCTGGATATATATGCGTCGCTCATCGAAGTAGGTGGTTGTTAGGTATACTTCTTCATCTGTATCTTGCTTTATTCTCTGCAACATGTCCTAATGAAACCTCATGTATCAATGTTTTCTTTTGTTGTATATAAATAACTGTATCGAGAGGTATTTTGTCAAATAATGTTGTTCGATAGGTTTAATCTCCTTGAGGCTCCAAATAAGAGGAACATTTTAGTGTATATTTGAATCAAAAATGATGTACTTATTTCAGAAATAAGTAGTTTGTAAGAAATAAGAAAATGTACAATGCAGATTTAATCGCACAACTCAGTAAATCACGATAAAACAAGTGATTTTTCACTATGCAATGAGAGTAAAAATATGTCATAAACTAAATATGGCGTTCATTCGTCAATTAAAAGTGTTAGGAAAAGTTAAAAAATTGAAGTGTTGAGTGCTTTTCAAAGAATGTCCTTTTCTAACTGATGTATCGTTTTAACCATGAGAGTAAATAGCTAGAAATAATCATATTCAATGAGAAAAGATAAATATGAATGTACTTACCGATCAAACGAAGCACTTCTAATGTAGTTGTTGATAAAAGTGGCCCACTATGATCATTTGAAAACGATGTATCATTAGACTGAAAAGTAAATTATTGATTATTAAATATTTCTATTAAGGCGTTAAAAACACAATTTGATTGAAGAAGTATTTCTTTTCAGTTAAATCCTCATCTCAAAGCTCTACAGTTATATATATATATATATATATATATATATATATATATATAAACTTTACAGTTAAGGATAAATGAAATCAGTATCAAACAAATGATGGTTGATCAATTTAACAAAGTTCTCCCTAAAATAGTAATCAGTGAGCAGCTCAATAGATGTGAAATGTGTAACCGATCTAACTATACGATTACATAATCAGTTAGGCAAAAAATATCGTTGCGTAAGAGTAAAAATCAAGTTTGGAATTGAATAGTCGAGTAGATATGTTTAGTATTACTTGTAAAATAAGAAATTTGTAATTAATACAGTTGATGCAAAGAATAGTAGGTGACCAATCAGCCTATTAGGGCAGGTAGATCACTTTAAATAGAGTTATAAAATTATTATGGGACAGAATTAAAAATTTTGAGAAATATAGTAACTAAGGAAAAGAAGGCGACGGTGAATTAAAAAGCTGAACAAACTTTTACTGTGTACAAAGATTAGGTTTATTGATGTGTATAATAATGGGTTCGGTTGTATGTAAAAGACGAAGTCTGAAAAATATGAGATAAATTCTACGGAATGGTGACCGCTATCTACTAAGTATGCCAAAACATAGCTTCTTACTGTTATCTTTTTTCCCTTGATCAACCATAAGGGGTAATGTTCATGAAAATAATATGATTTATTTGCTTGGTTGTACATCCACAATAACTGCCCTCACAAGGTCAGTTTAACTGTAGAGGCTGGACTAGACATTTTATTCTTATCGAATGAGTTCACTATGGGGTAACTGAAGAAAGAAAGACATAATATAGATGAATCTACTTAATTCTTTCTACACTACTTTTAACTCCTCCTGTAGCCCTTCTAGAGTTACTGCCGGTCCCAAGCCTGGGTAAAGGAGGAAGGTTAAGCATGGGGTCGGCAACCCCATCCTGTAGAAAAAAATCTTGCTAAAAAACGCCAACCAGATTAAGCAAATTAAACCCTCAGAGTTGAGGGAAGAATTATGACACCTCATAATGAAAGCCGAGACTCTTCGATCACAAGGCCGATGCCCCTTTTAACAACCAGAGCAACAATCAACATAGATACATGGAACGTCCGGACAATATAGAAGACCGGAAGGACCAATCAAATAGCTGAGGTAATGAGGAGGTACAACTTGGCAGTACTCGGAATCAGCAAAAACTATTGGACCCGAGCTGAACAGCAATGGCTGGATACGGGAGAGATGCTGCTGTACTCTGGTCACGAAGAGAAAAATGCTACAAACATTCAGGAAGTTGCTCTAATGCTGTCCAAAGTGGCACGAAACGCACTTGTAGGATGGGGATCTCACGGATCCAGAACCATCTAGACATCATTCAAAACAAAGGAGGGAATTACAGTGAATGTTGTCCGGTGTTATTCACCCAACAATGATAGCAATGACGACGATAGAGATCAGTTATACAATAGGCTACAATCACTCATAGAGAAGTGCCCAAGAAAGAAACTCACCAACCTGATGGGAGACCTAAACACCAAAGTCGAAATGGACAATACCGGATATGAAGATATCACGGGACGACATGGACTGGGAGAGAGAAATGAAAATCGGGAGAGATTTGCAAACCTATCTGCATTTAACAAATTGGTCATAGGCGGCAAAATATTCCCACACAAACTCATACACAAAGCTAGATATATCTCACCGCACCACACTACGGTGAACTACATCGATCATATTTGCATCAATAAAAAATTCAGGAATGGATCTCTATAAAAACCCTGGAAACGATTTAAGAAAGGAAGAACAATAAGACATCAAAAAACAACAGTCGAACAAGGCGCAAGAGCAATATGCAGAAGGAAACAAGAAGGTGAAAAGAGATATTAGAGCTGACAACAAGAATACGTGAAAGAGCTAGCAAAGACAGAGGAAAAAGCTTCAAGGGAAGGAAATATGAGACAGCTGTATGACAAAACGAAGAAACTAACAGGAAAATATAGTGAACCAAGTAAATCAAGGACAAGGAAGGCAAACCAATCACCGAGATTCAAGAAAAAATGAACAGATGGGTAAAATGCTTCGAGGAACTCGAAAATAGACCAGCTTCGCTGAAAACACTGGACATCGAAGCAACATACAGATCTTCATATAGATGTCACTCCACAAACGACAGAAGAAGCCAGGATGGCCATCAGACAAATCAAGAGTGAGAAAGCAGAAGGACCTGACAATATACCAACTGAATCTCTCAAGTCAGACATAGAGGTAATTGGAAACGTGATTCACGCTCTATTCAGGGAGATTTGGGAAGAAGAACAAGTGCCAACGGACTGTAAAGAAGGACACTTCATTACGATAGCAAAGAAAGGAGATCTGAGTAAATGTGGAAACTACAGAGGAATCACACTACTATCAGTACCAGGAAACGTTTTCAACAGAGTGTTGCTGAGTTGGATGAAAGACGCAGTAGATGCGCAACTTCGAAACCAGCAGGCTGGATATATATATATATATATATATATATATATAAAAATGACAATAGAATATATATACGCGATACTTGTTTTTATAACTTACGAAATTGTTTTGTGAAATGGTAATAAACTTGGCATTATTATTAACATTACCATGAATATCATTATCACCACGATTATGATCAGTATTATTGGGAGAAAACTTTGTATTTGACCTTTGTGTAGCCATAATATCGTTTGATGCTGACGATAAATTCGTTAAATCAGGGGAGTTAGTTTCAGTTTGACCAAGATTATTGTCACTACTAACACCATTGTCATTAATGTTATCATTATTATTACTATTCTCGGGATCCTCAGGGAATTGCACAAAGGTATAAGGGAAGGCGAATAACTTTTTATTCTGTAGTTTCGAAACGCTAAACATGAAAATCAATTTATTTGAATAAAGAAATAGTTGAAGATCATAACTATGACTAGAATTAATTATTAACGGAAATTTTCAACAATATGTTCAATGCAATTGATCTTATATATAGAGAGAGAGAGAAAGGGAGGGAAAGTGAAATGAGTTTCAAAGATGAATTTCACAGTGAAGTGACATTCATTTGAAATAGTTTACATTACACTTTGATGTTAAATGGTTGATCTTATGATGTAAAGTGTCCGAGATTTGACACAGTAACTAGTAGCTGCATTGCAACTTGATCGATGTAATTCGATCAGCACGAAGGATTAAACAAACAAAATCGTTCACTGTCAAAAGAGTTGAGATGTTGAGCAATTGTAAACACCTGTTTCATTTTAGTTGTTGTTGGCAATGCAAAGCAATGCCACTCATTAGAGATAGAACTGGAGTTCTGCAGAGCTAGATATGTACGCTCCTTCCTTAGATCAGTGAGTTTGGATTCGAATTCTAACAGTTTGAAACATTATGTCATGGTTATCAATCTCTAGTGTAGAAAAAGATCTCACATGCAACATGATTAAACTGCAATCGGTTGAGGATTTTCACTAGAGCTTCAGTAATCTTTCTTAAAATTCATCGCTTGTCACCATATGATTTCATCATAAGGGAAAGCAGTTGTTGATTGCTCATTGGTCTTCGATGGGTGTCTAGCTGAAGTCAATAAGTGACGTAATCTATAAAACATGATAAGTCATTTGTTACAACGGACAGACAGAAAAGTGATACTCAATGTCTTTGCATAATTAATAACTGGTTTAGTGTTAAATCATGACTTCAATTCTATATTATATGTACTTCATTGCTACTTAGGAAGTAGTTCTATATTTTGTAATCGATTCCTGGAGCCGGCTTTTGGTTAGGCGTATTGATTTTATAACCTTGAATGCCATTCAAAAAATGATAGGCTGCTAGCATACTCTGAATCTCTCATTTCCCACTGGTACTAATTAACTGGACGAATATCACACCAATGCTGACAAGACACAAGCACACCAATAACTTTGTTTACCACATTTATCCCTTCTTAGAGGGACATCAAAAATTCAGCCTAAGCCCGAGGACCCGGCTGATAACATCAGTCAAAGACTGGTAATTTAGTGTTGGCAATCTCGCACTCAGATAGACTTCATTGTACGAGTCGCTTCCCCACCACAAGGTCAACCTGCTGGTTATTAGGATTGAAGACCAAGCAAATTACGCATACCTAATACATATTGATCTATTTGCAAATTAACATTGAATCTCGACCATTTCGACAGATAAACTAGAAAGTATTTTTCTGTGCAATATTAATGTGATAAATTTTGATTTAAGTAAAAGAGTGAGTTATAATCTGAAAATTAAAAATGTAAAATTCCAGTATATACTACTTAAATAATTAAATATCAACCGTCTATTATGTAATAAATTGGTTGCACTTAATTAAACTCTTTTGTTCCGGAAGAGACTTGATTGTAAACTCGCAATAAAGGTGATAATTAATATGAGATTTTTGAATAAGATCACTAATTCATTTAACATACGATTTATCTACCACATTGTGAAACCTATGCATAGTAATTTTAAGTAATAAGTAGTAGAAATCATGACCTGATTTTGGCTAGATCGCAGTTGAAAGCCTGGAAGCGCTAGATAAATGTGCAAATTTTAGTATTAGTTTCATCAAGCAAATTGCATCCACAAACTCGTCCATAAGAATCGGAAAAGGACTTTTGGTTTCGCTTAAAATGTTTAGTATCTAGACCACTGGATTTGACATCCAGGTGTCTATTCTAACTTTAATCAATCCATTATCCTGCGAAACCCTTCATCCATTGTCTGAGGTGAATAACTGTCTCACACCGACACGGATTGAACTCCGTTGGTCACGACTTCTCACTAAAACTCTTGATATCACATCTTGAAGCTAGTCACAGGTAAGGACACAACTATTATTATTGTTATTATTATTATTATTATTATTATTATTATTATTATTGGAGGTTGTAGTCTTTCAAAGTTGAAATCACCTTCTGATCATACCAAAATCACTACTGGATGATAGCCGATCGGTCTAGAGGTTAAACGTTTGGGCACGGGATCAAAAGTCCAAGGTTTGATTCTGGCGAGTGGGTTCGTGGATGTGCATTGCTGAGAAGTCTCATACTAGGGCGAAAATGCCATTCACTGCCTCAAGGTTTTCATTGGTGGTCTAACTTTGATCAGTTCGTGATCTCAAGTGTGCAAATACTACAATCTCCACAAATTTCCTATACAAATAAAGTTATTTGTCAGTGCATGAATGTCACATAGAACCCAATTAAGGCAATGAATACAACAAAACACAACTGGAACACTTCAATTGTTATTTTTTTTCGGTTCAACTAAGAAAACGTAGAAATGTACACCATGAAAGCCATAGACTGGAACCTCAGTAAATGATCGTGAATGTTGTATTGTTCGTTACCTGAAATGAGATTATATTAAACCTTTAATAAATCTAACTGTTTTCCGACTGGATTGTTAATTATGTTCTCGCTATACACTGCATACTTACACTGTGCATTTGCACATATGAGCATTTGAATAATTAACACACTTAAGACAATAAAATTTTAGTTTAAAAGCTTTAGTAAAGACTGATTTAGTTTATGAGTTGTATTCGTCAAAGTTTGATAATAATTAAGTTATCAATGAAAACCGGGGTGATAGGTTTACTGGTGAAGTTCAGATATATCGAAATTGAGACAGATGTCCCAGTTGTATTAGACGATCTTCACGTTCTATTGCAAGTTGATTGAAGTTCAAATCGTACCATTAGAAAATGGCTACCGTTTTCTAATGGCTAAGCGTTTTCTGTTAGATCTGATGTTCTTGGACTCAATCTCTGATGGGGTCATGAAATCATGGTTTTTGATGTCCTTTATACAGGGATGAAAAAGCTGTTCAGCGCCACTCTTCGTGTTCTTCGATGGCATTTCAACTGACATCAATTTGTGATAAATACAAACTATAAATACAATGACAACAGAATTTTTTCAAAAAACGTTTATGTACAAACACAAAAATCACTTGTTCAGTTATTTTCCATTTGAGCATCATTACGTAACCTACCAGTGAATGTCATGATCACTTTTATTTCCAAGCAGAATAATTATAATAATAAAATAAGGAGAAAGGGAAAAAGCAATGGATAGACTAAAAATACTTACGTTATCGTTGAATTATTATTATTATTGCTATCTGAGACTTTGCTTAACCCATTAACTGTAATGCTTTTATTAGCATTAGTGCAGTTGCTATTATTAGTAATATTGTTGTTAGCTGTATTACTTTCAAATAAATCTTTTACTGCTCTGAATTCCTATAATAAAAGAAAAGGAAACACAATCTCAGTAAATAGTAGGATGCATAGACAGATTGATAAATATGTTTTACTAAATAGGAAATGAAAATGTAACAATGTATATTAATCTAAAGGAGTAGCCCAGTCTAAACGACGTTTTGACAAGTGAAATTTTCTTATATTCTTGTGACGATTTGTCAGTTTTGTAGGACCCTTCGTGAAAACCTTTTTTCAAATTAACCAGAATCAATCTTCTAAAGAGATGAATAAAAAACAGTTTTATTTCATAAATCAGGATTCATGATGTACAAACGGATCACTATTCGTAAGATTTAAAAAAGTTTATGTAGACCTTTTCGGTTACGAACAGTCAATTGAAATAAAGAAATTTACATTCATGTTTATAGCCGTTTTTTAACAAATGAATGAAAAATTATACATTATTAGAAAACATTATATGGTTGATAAAATTATCTTGGCTTGTTACAAGTTAGTTTAGTTTATGGCAACCAAACTAAATCTTGTTCATACAGTTGGCAAATGTATCATTCTTCTAGAGATACTATTTATTCGAAATGCCTATTGTAAAAAGTGCTGTGTTCTTTCTATATTCCACTAACAGTAAAATTATAATATCCGATAAAGTACTCATCATGATCGATAGGCCATGAGAATTCCCACGTTCTCAAACTTTCTCCAATCGGAACAACAGAAAGTCATATGATTGCTAACAGGTAGTCTTACTGTTTAGACACTTAACTCTGGTGATTATATGGGTAAGATACAATGGTACGGTGCACCGTAAATAATAAATTGAAATAATCACATAACTAAGAAATTTTCGGTACACAGTTAAGTAACAGATCTATATATTTAAGTGCCTGGTAACTTATATACCGTGAAAGGCAGTTCGTTCGGTTCTAATTTACGGCTGCGAAACGTGAACATTAAGGGTAGAAGATACTCGTAAGCTACTAGTATTTGATCACAGATGTCTTAGAAATATTGCTCGCGTCTGCTGGGATCATCGGATAAGTAATAGTGAGGTTAAACGCAGTGTATTAGGGGATGACGGTAAATCAGTTGATGAAGTTTTGAATCTTCATCGATTGATATATTTGGGCCACGTGTTACGTACATATATTGACAATGAGGTGAAAAAATAAAATAGACTGAACAAAAAAAACACCTTATTACCTGAAGATCCATTACAGTGAATGAATTCTTGACAGGACATATTTTCCACGTTTCGTTTTCTAAAAACATTTTAAGTCGGTCCATATGCTTTCTAAAAAGAAGTAGCAGAATAAATTTTGGAAAAAGGAAACAATCAAACATATATTGCTCACAAAGTTTATTCTAATTAATTTCCATGTAAAGGAATGTACAAATATAGGTGTTTTGACCAAGGAAAATGCACGTGAAACACTAACGTTTACTCATTTAAAACAAGCAGCTCATAAATGATAATCTTTATGTAGATTGTAGAAAATAGGATTATTTGAAAATGATTTCCTTAATGGACTAATGTGAAGAGGAAAACCACTGGAAAACAGAGAGTACTGTATAGCTGATTTATTAATGTTTAAAACTGTTTAGACAGCGGTGTACAAAGAACCGCAGTCAGTCAGTAACAACGTAGGACTTCGTATGTACGTACATCAGTTCCAGTTTCCATACCACAACGAACCACAACATGGTTAGTGGTGGAAAATCAGATTTATAGGCCTCGCACTCAGAGCGTTACCATTCAACCACCCTGAGTTCAAATCTAACGGTCTGTATACAAAATTATAGTACATTTCCATATTTAAGAAGAACATGAAATTATACACTGTCTTAGTATGTAAGGTCCACATTTTATGGTGCAATGATAAATAAAATGGATCAAGAAAGTTCGCATACAATTTTGTAATATCGAGAGGTAGTTAAGAAAAACATATTTCGTATCACGAAGTGACTTTTGTTGCTCAAAACTAACAAGTACTAGACAGCTGTTTTGTCCTAGCGTGACACTTCTTGGTAGTGAGCATCTATGACTTCACTTAGGACTGATATTGGGACTTTCAGGCATTATGGCGATCAAATAATTTCAATATACGCTGCTGTAGAGTCCCATATAAGAATGCAACACCTATCCAGTGTTTCCTGACTTTCATTGATTTTTTTAACGAAAGTCAATCTGTAACATGAAACTTTAAGCTCCATAACTTCTTTAACATCTTATGATAAGAAAAAGATATGACTAAATATCTGGGCATGAAAATCCAAATCAATAATGCCAAGGGACTGTCCAGCAGATTCATCATAGTAAGTAGATTTTGCATTTAGTCAACAGTATTCATCGCCTATATGTTATATGGATCATTCTAGTTACATATACATAAGTTTTATGATTTATTTATTTATTTATCATTATTATTATTATTATTATTATTATTATTATTATCATTATTATTATTATTACAGTACATCTCTTTACATAGTTTTGGTTTTTATCCACCGTATAGTTAGGTTGATGAAATATCAGGAATGCGTGTAATGGACTAATCGAACTGTATTCGATAACAATTTGTTGTGTTAACGACTGATATTATTTTAAATACATTTTATTGGACGTTTCACATTACTCGAATTTTGTACATCGTCCAGTAAGCAGATGTGGGTGAAATTGGTTGGGAATGTTATAACAGGTATAATCCATGCTAAAACATATTCTACGTTAACATTGAGATTCAGGAAAGCACAGAGCGACCAGATTATCGTGGTAACAGTCTACAAAATCTAAGCAATTACTGAATGAAAAAACAATGGTCAAATATTTTAAGTTACAAAGTTCGATTCGGTTTAACTAGAGCAAGAGGTTATCAACTTATAAGCTGGTATATAAGAGTGTATTTTTTATTCCTTTAATTAACTCATTTTCCTATTGTATAGGCGAAATTGTAGTCTATTACTGATACAATATGACAGAAATTTTTCGAAAGTAATCTCTTAGCTACCACCATTATCCTGTGGATTACAACAACCCAAAAGTCTTTAACCTTACAATACAGGTCATTTTGACAGTCAGTAACATCATCATGGACTGATCTCATGTCTCGCTTCATGGTCAAACCTCGAAATTATTCACTTGATCATTAGATAAAATTGAGCATTTTCTGTAGATTTAGAATATAAAAAAATCGAAAAAACGTCAGGGATGTATTTGGTTCGTGTTAATGATGTCGGGTAACAGATACTACAAAAAGATATACGATATTGTCTAGTTTCTATTATGTAGTTATGTGGTTAACGAATATTTGTTCTAATTTTTTGATAAATGGCTGAGTTAAACAAAAACAACCATATTTTAAATTCACTATTCACACCCGCATACTATTTCTTTGTGTATTTGGGTGAATAAAGGGTGCAAACCGAGACGAATTGATCACATATTTCAAAAACATTTAAACCAATCTCTATTTTTTCCAATGTTTATAGTCATGCCCTCAAAATTTACCGTTAAAGCTAAAGAAAAGAAAACCATGATTATTTTAGCGTCAGTGGTTTGAGAGATAATTACCTACATTCGTCACAATAAATTAGAATAATTGAGCTAATGCGAGCTCAGATTCAGTTTAAAAATGTGATCACAACTATGGACAATTTGTTCCTGACTATGCACTTTGCTGTAGCATTCCAGAAGATGGAACAGCATTCAAAGAACTCAAAACAGCAATCTGTTGTCATTTTTTGTTTGTAATCTAAATTTCCGTAAAAATTAAAAATCATATGTAAAGTTTTTATATGGAAGCACTTGTCAAACAGTACCACGGATAAAAGAAAATCATATTCAGTAAAGGAAGGTAAGTTGAGAAATCAATTATCCTCTAAAAATTTATCAATACAAGTCATGTATTTAGATCCCTATCGTTTTACTATATTGGGTAACTACACAAAAACAATGCAGATAACATGATATCTCGTCAATTTAGAGATTAATTAAAAAAGCAAAGCACACTATAAATTTCCATTGTTTTAAATATAATAATAAATATTGATAATCGTTGATATGGTGATAAACAGCGAGCACATGCAAACAAATTAATCAACATATACATTCCCTTTTTCTCTCCCTCACACACACAAAATCTTGAATAATAGGAGAGGTGGCATGCGAATAAACTTAACCATTGTTCTTGAACATGTGAGAGCAGATACACGAAAAGCGAAACCAGAACGAGAAAAGAAACCACAAAAGACTAAATGAGAAGTAAACGGATATAGAAAAATGTTTAACAGACTAGTAATTAATAAACATTTCTGTACGACAGAATAACACTGAAAGCGAAAGATATTTACATGTATGTAATAAACCAATGAAATAAATCTAAACTATTCTTTTTTATTCATTCTATCTATATATTTACTGTATTTTATACTAAAATGCGAATGTTATATACATGTATATTGATTCGTTGAACAGGTCAAAACACGAATAAACTGATCAGACAAGAATATAGACAAAATGAAGAGTACAGTAACATTAAAATGCTCCAAGCCTTACCAATTAACTAACAGATTATTGGCAGATTATTTTCATTGATCATTTAACCAATTGGTGTATATTATTATAATAAGGATTGATTTTATAGCGTAAAAACCACTGAAGTTATTTGGCTATGACTTTGAAATAAATCCAACGCATTTCGTTTATTTACAAGGGTGAAAACTTTGAGTAGATAATCTTAATAATTCTTTCGAAATAATAACTTGTCAGCCTGAGGTTGTCCGCAACATTTTCTATATTTAATAGGTATGTTGAGTTCAAAACTTTGGAGCATTTTTAAAATCATTCGGTGAATGAGTGTTACATATTAGAGTGTAATTTTTTACCGGAGATTTCATTTTAAGTCTTTAATTACACTGCATTTGTGATTATTTGATACCTGATGCTGTGCTATACTACTATGTCAATACGAAACAGTTACGGTCAATTCCAGAGTTTTAAAATGAAATCTTTAATGAAAACTAAACTCTAATTTGAAGTATTCTCTCACAAATTAAGGAAAAAATACCCGAAGATGTTTGATATATCACGCATTTGGAACATTGAAAATATTATTGATAACCGTTCCATTAAATTATCTCTATATTTTTCGAATTGTTGGTTTAAAAAAAGAAAAGAAACTAATCGCTGATGTTGATTAAATAATTTTAAACAAGTTAGAAGAACTAAGGAACACTGAATAGCCATTCCAACCATAATATGAGACTCCTGGGTAGTGTGCATCTATGACCCAAGCGAGGACCGAACCCAAGACCTTCGATTTCGTAAGCAAACGCATAACCTCGAGACCACTGAAATATGGATCTAATGGTATATACATCTAACTCAAGTTAGTTCACAACATTGTGCGGCCATCTCCAATTGTTTGCGGTTTTCAATACTTGTGCTGTAATATGTACACATTTAACAAAATCCAAAAGCCACTATTCTAGAAATGGACAGTTAATAATAAACAGTTTTTTAAAGGAAAACAAAAATGAACATTTATTTACCGATGGAAGTCTTTAAAATATTTTTGAATTGAAATTCGTAAAGCCTCCAGTAGTTCATTCGGTGAACATTCACAAAATTCTTCACCTATATGTACAAAACTAAAGAAAAAGATAATGAAGAAAGGTTTTTTTTTACTGATAAATAAAAAACAAAGAAATATGATGAAACTTATGGGTAATGAGAATTTGAAGCTCTGATGGATAATTTTGGTAACGTTTCATTCTCTGGACTAAATGGATAGGACAAGCTGTCAATCATACATTCATAGAGGAATAGCTTACCTTCACCTAAAGTTTGTCCTGATTTTATTTTTTTAAAAGAACAATAAAACTTCATAATTAAAACATCCAGACTAAAGAACGAAACTCAACCAATAAAAATCATTGAAGTGATATTGCAAACACTATAATAAGTTATTAAATAGGGTAGATGACGGAATTATTCGTCCACTAGAACGGTGACTCAGTAGTTAAGACATTAAACTTTCGATTACTATGTCACGGGTCTGAACCCTAACCCATCTATTGCAGTTTAGGCAATCGGATAGTATTACGAGACTTCAAACTTAATGTATGACTTGAAGTCAAGTAAACCAATCTACACTCATCTACGTTGGCGTGTAGTTAATAATTTATTCTGTATTATTGTGTGAAATTTGAGTCATGTTTGAAATGAGTGTAATGAAAATTGGCTGCTGACTTTCCTCTAGACTCAATAGTTGGTGTAAAGGTTTGAGTATAGTGGAGCGATAGGAGCTTAGATTGCGTCAGCTCAAGATTAACTGAAGGTTAGACGTGTAATTGGCCACGTCTGCAACATTAGGCTATAGAATAAATAGTAGATGTGGGATAGAGAAAATTTTGAATTCCAATTGATGACATATCTATTAGCGTCTCTAAACACAAAATGGTGATTCTAAATACCAAACAGGATATACAGTCCTAGCAAAAACCTGATAAACTGAGAGAGTCTAGGCATGTTATACACCCGTTCTTGCGTTTATATCAAGGTCAGACAGTACAGTAGGTGAGACATTATAGGTAAGATACGCTACCGAAGGGAGTCAAATTTGATTCTATACTACAGAAGGACAAATGTAAGTATACCAATGATTAGTGAACATAATTATTTGATTTTACAGTTCTGTTTTACTAACAAGCTTCCGTTTAACCCAGTATCTACTCATATACGACTAACTATTCCAAATTTGTTACCAGTCAATTACTTACAGCTTTCCCTATATACAGACACTTCTGGCCCGTTTATTTATGATTGCCATTTTGCATTTTATGGTGTAATGCGGTCCAGGATGTCTGTAAATAAACCACGTCTGTTTTGAAATAAAAATAAAGTAGAGGATGGCTGCTGACTTCTGGACTGAATGGAAGGGCATAGAAAGGAGCTTGAGAATAACAGACCAATAAGAACATGGCTCAGCATCATAAACAGTAGACTAGATAGATCCAATCATTATCTTACACTACATTTTTATCCCTAGTATTCATAAATAAATATCGATCGACTTCTTCGTCATAAACCATATTCCAAATGTTTATTCGGTCTTTCGTATTACGATTGGTAGTAGGATTACTCTGACTTTATTACTATTCAACTTGTTGACTCTACCTCGACATAATAACAATGTATGACATCCTGGGGTAATGACTGATCTTATGGAGGCTCTTTACGATCATATACAGTATATATATATATATGCCAAAAACCTTCAAAACATGAATAATGACGCCTTTCATTTACAAATAAGAATAGTATATTGGAAATCACGAATTTTATCGATGTAAACCAGTTGTTGACCACATATTACCATAGATTAAAAAATATTCATTAGTAGAGTCATGTAAATAAAGGTGGAAAGTAAAGTGAATCGATTTTTCTCGTCTTAGAAGAGATTTCAACAGAAATTAGTGAATTTTAAACCTTCATTTTCTTTATCCAATAAATTAGTGTTTTTGTTTACTGATCGGTTTTAGTAAATATATATACATATACGCATTGTAATTGTCACTGTTTAGATTGAGGGTACACAAATATATGTATGCATTCATAGGCACAAGAATACAACGATTTGTCCATTAATATTTCATCTTAATTAATCTTTCATATAGCTTAAAGTGCGATTATCGTAAACAAAAATCGGGAACGTTGAGTGACATGACTCAAAATTCAGTTTCTACAATGTAGACACATTCATTGTTTCTCATCGTTCAAAACATAAGTTTGGGACTAATTTCATACTTTTCAATCTATGAATTCATATTACCTTCTTGAATCATGTTTCCTACTCATAAAATTTCTTATTACTACCAAAACTTTTGCCACTTCGACGATTTTGATATTTGTCTTGATAATTTCGTGAGCAATATATAACAAATTAAAGTCTCGTATTTTACGTAGATATTCACCTTTTCATTATTAATTCAATAGGCATAACTTAATTTAAAGATACTTAGTGATTGGTGTTGACTGAATAACTGAAAATTCTGAAAGAATAATTAAAAGGTATTTTAGTAAGTGAGATTTCAGGTCGATACCTTGTATGAAATCGTGGATATTTCAGTAATTAGAATTAGTCTTCAATGAAGGTAAAACAATTGTGTGTGTAATTATTACTCGTTTTCATTAATTTGTTATACTGATTTTTAAGTTTAGGATGAAATCTGTCTTAAAATTGAACAAATCTCCATGAAACACTTATCTAAAATAATAAGGTAAATTAGTATAAATTGTGTAATCCACATCCTTGTTATCAAAGGGGAATCAATTGAACTCCTCGGTAAGTAATTACACATTAATGTATAAAACAATGAGTCATGTACATTAGGTGAAAAGACCTACCATTTGGAATTGATAAAAGTATTATCGAAAATCAAATTAATCATTGTTACTTTTTAGTTTGTCAATGATGGTTACCTAATTCAAGGAGATGTTAACTAGATTTATCACTTCTACCTGTACTCATCGATTAGGTTATTCCTGTAAAGACAGCTATATCGAACTTACTAGAACAATCAGTGAGCACTCACTGAGCTGTCTGAAAGGGATGAAACAAAGTCAATATTTCGTTCTGCTTCATCTCACTCGATCGATAGTGGTCATATGTAGTAGATCAAACTAAGGTGTTCAAAGTGATTTTCTGCAAACTCTCAACCAGTCGGATAAAGTCACATCTCTTATATATACGGAAAGCCATAAAGATTCGAGTCAGCAATCCTAGTTGTGTCTAAAATAAATTTGTAATATCTCGATCATGATCATCCTCTTTTCTTTCTTCCCTTCTTTTAATTAACCTCTTTACCATAGAATACTTAAATTGATTATTCACAACTGTTTCTTATTAAGTATTTTTAATGATTATCTAATGAACTTTATTTTCTCACGTGTTGACCAGCTTTCTATGCTAAAATATTTACCCCTATTTTCAAGATATTTATTGATCTTATAACCACTACACATTAGTCATCTTACTAACAATTTGTACTTTTTCATTGAAATCATGAACCGATCAATATTAGACCACCACTGAAAACCTGAGAGCACTGGACGGCCATTTGTCCTGGTGTGGACCTCTTCAAAAGTCTGCATCCGCAACCTCAAACACGGTATTTAATTATGCAACCTACTTCACTATCATTGATTCATAAGTTGTTTTGACCGGTTTACCAATTATTATGTATCTATACAAAATGTTACTGTGGATTAAAGTAAAGCCCTATAAACAGCTAATTGAAAACAATACTGTTAGCTTACATAAGTGCTTTTTCTAATTATTAGTTGATAAGACTAAAAACAATGATTTCGTTGAAAGAGTTTAGCAGAAATTGATTAGATTTGTAGATTGTATTCAATACAAATTGGTGACAGTTGTTGAATCTTTGAGAATGACGGATTGGACAGCTATTTCAGCCTAATATGGGTCTCCTTAAAAGCCCATACTCATAACTTCACTAAGTACGGACACTTAATTCTTAAAAACATCGGGTCGGCGTCAAACTAAATAATTTCAACTTCAACCAATTTGCCATATTAGATGACGGCCATTTAACGCCGTTAGTGACAAGTGTTTCACTTCAGAAATGCTTGAGCATCACAGGTCACAACTTATTAAAACTTTAGGAACATCCTAAAATAAGGTTCTGGTGAGATCATGAACGAATATGCACTGTTGGGGACTGTTATACTAGAATAAATCTACTGGTCAACGCTCTTGATTTTCAACGGTACTCCATCAGTTGAGATTAATCTGTGACGAATAAAATCTACAAAATGTAGACAATATTGTTTGCTAACAAACATACAATTTTCTAACATGAACACTAACAGAAAAAGACAGCAAAGAAGATGTTACTCAATCAAAACTTACTGATTAATAGTAGATAATAATGAAGCAATCTCATCAAATGTCATATCTCTGGCAAGTTGACTGACAACATTTAAAATTGGTTCAATACGTGAAATAATTTCTGACCATATACGTGACCGACCAGAATCTAATTTACACGTAACATAATCATGCCACTGTCTGGCCAATTGTGGATCACAACCATGATCATTATTTATGATAACGGATGATTTTGTCACTGTATTATTGTCTTGATCAATTTCAGTAGTGACAACAATATCATCACGATTGATATTGTCAACTTTTAATTTCGGTTTATGATATTTGGAATTATTAAGTAGAGAATTTGAAGTAAATGATTTATGTTTGGTGTGACTAGATGCAGACGGATATGTTTCAGATGACTAAAAAAAGGAAAAAGGAGTGAGAATAAAATCAGAAAAGAATTTGTAAGTAGTGATGAAGGTATGTATTGGTTTTGCTTTCTAGAGTGACTGATTTCAGAAAAACACAATATCAAAACATGGAAGCACTGAACACAGGTGTTTCATCTCAAACAATTCAGACTCGACCTCAGCATTATGCATATACGAACCAATATGGGAGTATGTTATTTCTCTACGGTTACTTCATACACTTCCTATGATATAAGAAGGCATAAATATCAAGCCGAATTATAACGTCCATTAATCATGTGTACAAATGATTACCTTTTCGACCTAAACAAGGATATGTGGACTTAGATTTTGATTGAGTACATAATCGAATCTCTTTAGTAGTATGTCTCGTTTACAATTTTTCACTTACGATTTAACGTGGAAATGATTTATGGGTACAAGTATATGATATATCTATACTCGATCAGTATATTAGACTGAACTCAAAATTTTCAAATCTCGTGGCAACTGCTAGACTAAAATACAATGTGGTTTATATTTTCAACTTCAGTTAAAACAGATAATCTGACGATTATTCAATGTCAATGATGAGCAATTACCTCACTTTTGATATGGTTAAACTACGCTACTAGGGATTTTTTACTAAACAATGATGACACACGTTGATTTAGTAAACTGTGAGGAGACAAAACATAGTGTTAACTTATAGCTTATTAATTGAAAAACTAAACAGAATTGAAATAATGAGCATTTTTAGTTAGAGTAGGTTTGATTTCTTCATAAATTAACTCATTATCTTGCCACCAACATCTCCTTCACGTATGTACTTTAATTCCATTTTAATTGTACACAACAACAATGAATTGTTCCACAAAAATATATCTAAAAAACAGATACAAACAAATTGTACCGTAAAACTAGAAGTAACTAAGTATTCGCATAAAAACACATAGACATACTACTGAATTTATTGGAAAAATAATCATGAAATAAACTGTTATATATAACAGTTATATATAAGTAGGGGAAAACGTACACTTTTGCCAGACGCTCGATTTTTATGCCATTGAATTGTACGATGATAACATAATAGAATTTCCCACATATTTTGACAAATCGATCTCAAACACCGTAGTAAAGTCCAATGTGGAAGTTGCTATGAACAATAATATAAAAAGAATAAAGAGGATACATATTTAATGAGACGCATCAATACTGTGGAGCAGCTGTTTAGAGGTAATTAAAACTCATTTGATCTTGGTGGATTTTAAGACTCAGATAGCATTAGTGGTCACATTGCAACTTGACTGACAGAATTCAATAAGCATTAATTAATGAGGACTAGACAAACGTAACATAGGTCATCCACAACTTATTGATTAATTATTTTTATAGTTGAATTCATGAGTCCATATTAGCTAGGCCACCAGTGAAAGCCTAGAAGCTCTGAATGGCAGTTTCGTCCTAGTATGGGACTGCTCAGCAATGCGTATCCACGACCCACCACACGGAACTCGAACCTAGGACCTTCAATCTTGAGCGCGAACGCTCGACGTCTGGACTATTGAGCCAATATCCAACGGTGTTCATGTTTAACCCTAATCGTAGATCAGCCCGTGAATTCAACAATTAAACATACTTCAATCTCCACAAATCCCCGTTCTGATTAGTCAATTGTAAATATTTTTCCTACAGAAGGTCAATTGTGGCTCAAGTCGTCTGGTGGAAAAGTCTTTGATCTTATTGTCAAGTGCCGTACGTCGAAATACACTAGGGAGTATCAGTCTCTACAACATTGAAGGTTGGTCGTTGATATTAAGTATCAATTGACAAGAAATTTCGGTCGTAGGTTCCCTAAAGACTATGTTCAATCACCTAACAGTATTAGTAGTCACATAATCGAAAGTTGGACTTGAATTTATGTGTACACAATGAGTTGCAATAAACCTTTATAATAATATATACACATAGAAACATATTCTTACTATCTCATGTATACTTACCCAATAACTTCTTACTCATTGGGTTGCGAATATATACTACTTATTTTAGTGTATCATAATCAGATTGAATTTTATCAAATATATGAACTTATAGAAACATTTCATGTTAGCCAATTTTTTAAAATCATGTAAGTCTAAAAAATAAACTTGTTCATGCACAAGGGTTGACCATTTGAGCTGTTAACAATGTCAAGTGACTATTCAGAGTTAACGATAATGGAGAAAATTTATAGTTCAAATGGATATAAATTTTACTGGTGCTGCAGTGTCCGTGGAGCCCCTCCGGGGGCTACTACCGGTCCCAAGCCGGGATAAAGGAGGACGGTTGGGCACGGGGCTAGCAACCCCATCTCGTAGAAAACTAACTCGCTAAAAAAACGCTAACCAGAAAATGCTGGTCGGCGACCTATGCTCCATTGGGAGTAACAGGCGTAAGTAAGTAAGTAAGTATAATCACGATGTTTTCAGACAATATCAACAGTTTACTATATCCTTGATGTGATTAAAATCCATTTATTAGTCTTATAATTTCAATAGTGTATTTTGTTAAATTCGTTAAGTGAATACCATAATAAATTTTAAAATCTCAACGGACAGACCATTCTTTACCCATACAAAAAAACTCAGTTGAAAAAGCTCTTTTTTTATTTTTATACAAAGTATGTGAATACTGACCACTCACTTGACATAATTCTGGATAAGAATGATCAGTAATTATCTTATTCCCAGATGTATCTGGCTGAGATGCTGAATGCACATGAAATTGAACGAGATAGAATGATTTACGTTGTATAGCTGCTACATAATGCATTTGTAATTGAGCAAATGTCGTCTGAGTACTTCCTAGTAATCTGTATATTTGTAAAAATAACAATATCAAATGATTGGCATTAGCTATATACATGAAACTATGAAAAGAATGTTATCCTTTAATGGTGCCGTGACCTGGCTCCAATTAGATCGGAGGATGATGTTATCGCTATACATATTCCAGTTGTCCTCATATATTGTTATCGACATAAGTCGCGTTAGTGAATAATGGGATTAAATAAGCCAAATACGAAAATGAAGTTCAAATATACATATTTCGTACACTCATTGATCTGAACAGACAATCCGAGAAACGAAGTGATGTGCAGCAGAGAAGGCGAGTGAACCAACTCCATTTGACCAAAGAGTAACTCAATATGTTACAGACACGCAATGACCAGGGTGAGCAACTAACACACATACGAACATATCACAACAGACAGGGCTGATAAGCGAATAAGTGACAGGGTAGAAATGTGGCTTGAGAAGAATGAATAAATTGGTCTGTTCAGAAGCTAGACTAACTTATGTAGGCTCGACATAGTAACAGCCTCTACAATCCTGTTCTGAATTTTTTCGGTAGCAGAAGAAGTCGAGTGAGTTAACCAACAAGTCATGGTTACCAAAAACAGCTCATTCTCTCCTGATTCTTAAAGCTCAAAGCTATGAAGATATTAGGAGCGTGATTAGAATTCTAAAAACACTGCGGTTAAAATCACTATCAGTTTCATTGAACAATCGGTGTACGCACAAAAGCCTAATCCTTTCTATATACATAGAATTATTAATGGCTTTATTCAATATTATATTTTGGTACAATACAGAATTCGCAGTATAAAGTTTTTCAACAAGTTTCTTTTACAAAAACGGAAACAAGAAAGGGAAAAGAAAAAAAGTGAAAAAAGAACGGAATCTGTACAACTTTTCAAATTAGAGAAATATTTAAGAATACAGGCTATTGACTAGGTTAACTCTGACAACCTGTTCGTCACAGAGTATATTTGCTTTCGGGCATGGATTTTAATGTATTTATGTCTCCTTCTATCAGTAGATTTACAAGGAGAAAGATATGAGTGAAGGGGATAGTTATTATCTGGTAAGATAACACCTGCCAGGAGTTTGCATGACTTTAGATGTCTATCCACACCTTGCTAATTGCCTTCAAGCACTCTCCGCAATACAACAGTCTTTTCTCAAGAACCCGGGAAAGAATAATGGGGAAGAGTAACGAATAATAGGTAATACGCAGGAATCGACAAATTATAAGAGTAAATGTCGAGTAATCCCTAAACCATGCAGCCTCTTTATGTAGTAAGTCAGATGGAAAACTTTCTTCGATAACACTAAAACGTGAGAAGATGAAGAGAGATCAGAGGAAGAAGTAACACAAAGATAATTGACCTGAGACACTTTTTATCAGTCTCCAACGGCACAAGCAATATGGGAGCCCAAAATGGTGTTTAGGTGCTGTTCATGTCTCAGGCTATAGTTAACAGCTTGCAATTTGGTGGATTAAGCATGAAATCATAAACAACAGACCACCATTCAATACGAAACAAAAACTTATTCAATTCTATGAGATGTAAAGAGGTAGAATTCGGCATACATACCGTGAGATCGTCTGCATATTTCACAAAGTTTTTTCTGTGGAAGATGGTAAATCATGCATAAGAAGACAGAAAAGAAGAGCTGAAAGAACAACTTCTTGTGGCACACCCTCATGAGACAATAGAGACATTGAACACTTTCCTCCAAACACAGTGTCCTGTTCTCTTCCAGAAAGGTAGGGACATAGCCAATTGATTACACAGCTATCATTGTGGACGCTGATTATCTTGTTAAGTAAAAGTTGTATTGGGATAGAATCAAAAGTAGAAGTATAGTTCGGAAAAATGCATCGAACATACTTCTTACCCTTTTACAAATTGAGCAATATATTGCGATGCAGAACAGCAACGGCATCTAAGATGCTTTTTTGCATTTTTAAGCAAACTGATACGGATCAATGTGCTCTTTTATTACAGGCTGAAGTGGGAGTATCAGTAATTTTCCCATTGTTTTGAGGAAAGGTGAAGTTGTTGCTATGGGTCTAAATTTCACATTCTTATCATCAGATACTTTCTTTGGTACAGAGATTATCTTTATCTTTCTCCACATTTTCGGTATGAGATTAGTTGAAAAGGATATGTTAAAGATACTCGTGAATGGATAACGCAGAACGTCGGCACATTTTTAAAAAGATTTGGGATACCATCAGGTCCTAAACATTGGGATGAATTAAGTGACTGGAGACATTTTCGGACATCAGTTTCAGTGAAACTAGAAACACAACTATTTTTCAAACCTGTGGATAAAGAGAGCATGACATCAGGTGGCTGACTTGTTTCAAGCACAAACATTTAGCTGGTTATCGCTTCTAATGTGTATGTCACCTGTAAGTTCTTTAAAGAGTTTCCACATACTTGGAGAGTTTTTACAAGATAGGGGTTTCTGAGTAAAAAAAAGAGTTGACTCGTTTAATCTCTAGGTTAATTAGACCGTTTAGCTTACGAACTCCAATAGTTTTTCTCCTTGCACATTCTTTCTTATACCTTCTGTAGTCGTTTTACTTGTGGAGATGTAAGTCGATCAAAACTTTTAAAAGGCGTTCAGTGGGATAACAAATATCAAAACAGAATTTAAGATAACAAGTGATAAAATCAACACGGTTTTCCAATGAGTCATCTGTAAATAATTTCCAGTTAGTCGTACGAAACATGTTTTTTTCAGATTTTGAATATTTTCTTCTGGGTAATTCCTATATTTGACTTTCTTGGTCTGATGTAAGAGTGTACTCTTATCATGCTTTCCATATACTGTAGGTAGAACACAAATTATACAGTGATCTGAGCTAGACAATGGAGCACGTTTACGAGTCATATATGTACCCACACCATCAATGAAAACGAAGTCCAAATGAGCATCCAAACGAGTAGAAAAATCTACTACGTTTTGGTGATCTAGTGACGTAAGGAAGCTACAGTTACATGAATTGAAATCCTTAGGCAAAACAGTAGGTGACAAAATTATACACGGGGCAAGATACTGAAAGAACTCGGATATGTGTCTAGTCAAGGTCTTACCTATATATCCTTATCTGAATCAAAAGGACGGATGTATATATACCCATGATTTGTATACTCAGTTATTTAGTTAGTCAATTTAAGCTTCTTAATTATGTCTCATTCTTCTCACTTGCGTCGGTGGTAGGGAAAGTGTATATGAGGCGTACCTAACTGAATCGGACGATTATGGGACGGAGCAGCGTCTGCAGTCTTGAAAGGATCTAATATTACAACTATTAGCACTGAAGAACTTTAGTAGTAACCGACATTTTCGTAAGACTGACATATTTATACTAGCAGATCACGGAGTGAGAAACAACCATTATCTCCTAATATTCTCTCTGAATCTTACAAGAGTTCAGTGCCACGATGTGAAATAGCATTGTTGTAATATCTTTCTCTAATACTGAAAGTACACGTATACATGACTTACTCAAATGCACGCTGAACAGTTGAGTATGATTTCTCGTCAAAATGTTCACAGCTTCTTTGTAATTCTGAATCTAATTTCTCATCAATACGTAATTCTGATGCTTTCAACTTGCTATGTATGGATCTTTAAGAAACAGAGACAATAACAAAAGACAGTGATAAATATAAAGAAATTAAGAAGGTTTGTGGAAATGAAGCTTGATATTTAATCAAACATTAGATATTGGTATGACGGCAAAATAAAATTATTTACGTTTGTCAATGTTTGCTACTATTATATGATTACATGACCAGTGACTGAGTTGGGAATATTAGCAGTAAACTAAATACTCGGCCGATACGCTAGACACATATTGGATCACGTTATAACAGATGCACGATTTAAGACCAGAATAAGAGAATCAGAGTAACGATTGAACAGTAATTTATTTAACACAATTACAAGCAGCCTACACTCAATGAGTTCAGAGTAGGAATCACTAGCTGGAAGGATATCACACATTAAATAGCCAGTGAGTTGAATGTCTATTAGTTTAAACTTACTGACTAATCACATCCTAATTTCACTAAATATATTTCAGAAATTCAAAACTGACGATGTAATTTGTATACAGATTAGGAATTGAATTCCGAGAACTATTTCTATAGCACACTTAACAAAATATTAATTAACTTCTACATACTTGTTGTTCACTATTTAACGAACTTGATATAGTGGTTAACTTTTAGGGAGAAACACTCCGTTTGATCAAAAAGGCCTTGGTCTTATTAGCACTTAACAAGAATTAAACTCGGACAGTAGATGAAATGTGTATTGCAATTTGGTACAGTAATGGAAACTTATATCATTATTTGAAAGAATCCCTTAATTCTTAAAATTTAGAACTGCATTCGACCAGTCTTTGTTAATGTATGGAATGTCCAAAAGTGATGTCTCTTGTTAGTTATGGATGAATAGGTGGAATACATGAAACTATGAAGGCTATTCTAGGGTTGATTACATATGTGTATTTACTAAATATATTTTTATATTGACCTAATTGTAAGCTTTTATTTGACTCAATATCTATTTATATACGTCATACTGTCCATCAATTACACTTAATTGTTTATTAACCCATTACTCAGTTTTCTACTACGAATTGTCTAGCTATTTACAGACTGTCCTTTGTTATTATCAATGAATTCTGGTCATCTAATCCACATATATTATCATTCGAGTTGTGAGTAATAAAATATACAAATTGAATCAACTTGGTTTTATCGTTTTCTAATTGTGCACGTTGAGGACAGAAGTCTCGCAGGCCAATCAGTGTCAGTATCAGTTCGTCAGTCAATCGGCTAAAATGTAAGACCAGGCACATATATGCATCGGTCCAAGTTGCTATACATCATTAGCACAACCAGATGAACACCAAATTCATAGAAGTGGTTAATTCAATGGTGGTAATATATAAAAGAAAGATTGTATATAAGGATATACTACATGAAGCGGCGTCAGTATACTTAATCGACAAGACAGGTACAGAGAAGGTCACTAGTGTTACTTGACATAAGCGAATTTGTTAATATTGGAGTTGATAAATAAGTGATTTTAATAAGTGAGTATACAGAAGTGAGGAATTCTCCTCAATATATTGACGGTCAAAAATTCTCATTATATTCTTCAATAGTGGCTAGCGAAATATTCAAACCCTGAAGTGCGAATGTATGTAGTTGATGAGACCAAAAAGGGACAAAATGCTTAACTGGATTTTTACTCTTAGCCACTATCCAAAAATATAAATATAAACCATCGAATAGTGGCATTTGAATTATTTCATGTTATATAAGTGGGTCAGTTTAGACATATAATGCAACAGTACACCATTCAACTATATTTATGAACTGTACTGCCTTGAATGGCAATAAATAAACAATTAAGCTGTTACTAATGTGATAAAAACTATTTGCAATGAGGTTAGACCAATTTTTATTTATTTATGTTCTCAATAAACTTCATACATGAAATACAATGTTCCATTCCATGTTTACATAGGTTTGCTTTTTATTTAGAAAACAAAATTTTTTCAAAATCATTTACATAATTAGCGGCTTTGTGAATTTTGCTGGTTCTAAAAAGGTTCTCTTTTATACTAGAGCGAGAAATGGAACAATCATTAAAATCATAGAGAAATGGATAATTTATTATTCCACATTGGATTTCCAAATGAACAAACGTCATTAAATTGTATCAGAACTGTGAAAACAAACTGTGGACCTTGTGTTGAACAATTTACTTCTCATAAGATGAGAATTCAATCGTAAACCAGTTTTCAAATTCATTGTATCCAAATTAAAAAAGTGCTCACCTGCCTACAGTACAAAGTCAAGCGAACTACAAATATACGTCTGAAGTCAAGTGAGTGATATATTGTTGTATATAATGGTATTTCAGTAAGAAAGCTAGGGGCGGCCAGACCAAAACATGGCACAAGTCCATGAAGTCACTGACAAGTGGTCTGAGTCATGTCGGTAGGTGTAGACTACCTGGTTGGGGACCGCGAGATGATAGCAACCGATGGTTAGAGACCCTGAATGACGTGGCTCAAAATCGTTTGCAATGGCGCAGGTGCATACACTCTTTGTGTTCTCCCAAATTTTGATCTCCTTATTCCTCCTTGTCTCTTTTTTTTCTCTTCCCAAATTCATTTCACTGTATTATACTCTTTAAGTAACATCTCCAAACACTAATTTTCCCGATAACTGCTTATACTCTTATTACCTCTACCACTACGGGATTTGAATCGACCACTGCATCTCTGTGCTAATGTGGTGTGGCAAATCGAACTGATGTACGTACGTACGAAGTTCTACGTTGTTACTGACTGACTGATATCTATAAATCTTAATAACAAAAACTCATCCAGCATTTTCTAAATACGACTAGTTATTCAATACATTCTAGCCACCACAAACTGAGCATAACTGAGATATAGGAAACATTCATGATGTTATACATATACATTGTGAAAAATCTAATTCTACAACTTACTCAATACACCGGTATGAACGGAAATCTTCCAAAAGGACAAGACTTTCACGATGTAGTTGAATAGCATCATAAAAGTCACCTTGCTATAAAAAAACAAATAGAACAAACGAGTTTCTAAGGAATAAATGACACAGCTTAATCATAAGTTTGGGACTATTAAGTATTACATGCTAACGACCCCACCAGAAATTGAAGCCCAAAACGATTAGGGCCCATAACAACCACTTTATATATGAACCATTGAATTCTTGGTTTAATCCTCTATTATGAGATCTCTGGCATGCACTGTCGAAGAATTCTACACAAGAGCAAAACAGTTGTTCAGTGCTGCTTGGTTCTCAGTGACTCCATAACTAAAAACAGACATGATGTAAATCTCTAAAAACAACCAATGCTAAGATGTATCATCGTTTCCGATCAAGATAACTATTACGTTGTATAAGGTTAAATGGTATTTTACTGATTAAATAACGGAAGTTAATTGACTAATAGAACTTCAGTGAATCAAATGAAGCGCATTACAATAATCCATTTTTCTAATCAAAATTACTTTCAAGAGTTTCGCAACATGATAAAACAAACATCCGTGCAATTGTTATTGATATTACGAACCAACCTAAGCTAGATATACAATGAAAACCAAGAAGCACTAGATATTTGTACGAGAGTTTTCAGCAGTGAGTGACTCAAGACCTTCGGTCTCGCTCTTGAACGGTTAACCACTGGAACACTGAGTCGATATATAAAGACGATAATGTCTAACTTCAATCAATTGCAACCATAATTCATTGTTTTCAGTGGGTAATTGCCTCATACCCGGTACGTTTGAGCTTTTACAGAGTTGGATACTAGGACGAACCAATTGTCCAGAGCTTCCTGGTTTTCAATGAAAGTCTAATTTAGGTTGGTTCGTGATATCAACAACATCTAGTAATCTCCACAAAAATTAATCCGTTTTTCATACCAAGGATGTTACATCGAATTTATTCAATACTTTGTAAATGAAGAGAAATGTTTCCAAATAACGTTAAATTTTAAAAATAAGATAAGCTTTGCTATCAGATGGATATTATTACTTCTACAGAAAAAAAAACATTTTTGAAGATAAAGACCAACTATTGGTTGGACTTGAGCATTCAATGCTTACAATAACGGTTTTAATTGATCATGTAGACACTCCTATCAATTCATAACTTTTGAATTTTAAGTAAATTCAAAAGGGTGGTAATATGAATAAACTTTTATTTCAAGACTAATTTAGGCAAACAAAATATATGAACCAAACAGATCATTGAAGCATTTGGAACTGTCGTAATCACGTGAACTACTGCTGATAATTGAAAATGGGAAAACCGCTGAAACTTCCAAAATATCCTCAGAAGATTTATTACATCTTCTAAATAAGTTGATAGTTGTAGTAATGACAAACTACTACTATATATATATATATATATATATATATATATATATATATATATATATATATATATATATATATATATATTTGCCGCTCTCTATAACCCAACTACTTCTAAACTTTAACTAAGACAAGGAGAGGAAAGGCGCGAAACGTAAGACCTTTACTCTGGGATTAATGTAAGCACAGAAAATTAAGGAGTATTAATCGAGTTGGGTAACGTTCGTCTTCTGAAACATCTTGGCAACATACTTAATATGGTAACAGTTTGGGCAATTAACTAAACAAAAATATAACAGGTAATTCTTCATTTTTTTAGATATTTCTGAGAAGTTCCTATTCAATGCAATTTGGATACAAAAACGTTTTCTGGGCTTCTAGAGACTTAGTTTTGGACTATCCAACATAAACGAATACGTAATCGATATGATTAATGGACAAAATCTAACACTGTCTGCCTAACTTTGAGAACTAATGATAATTAGTTACCTTCCTAAATTGAAATGGGTTAAGTGATGCTCGAACCGACAACCCAAAAGTTGGGATCTGAGAGCACAAATCGCTTCACAAGAAGACACAGCACACTACTACTTCTATATTAATAATAATAATAATAATAATAGTAATAATAATAATAATAATAAAATAATAGTAATAAACGTGTTGGAAAACATTAAACATTAAAATAGAAATACGATTACAAATCCTACTTTAATGAGTGTATCAAGCCGGTGAACATTATTTTGTAGATTACGCAATCGAAATAAAATGTTTAGTGTTTGTTTCAGCCTTAATTGTCTACGGTGATTACGTAAAACAATTAATCGTGATAAGACCAATGTTTTGTCAGCTTGTTTTAATGAGCTATTATAAAATGAAAAGAGAAAGAATACTAGAATCAAAGATAAACAAGAAAACAAAAGTATCAAAGCAATTCATGATATGTTTCATCAATTAATTGAAAGTATTTGATATCAAAATATATTTTTCTGTTTACTAGTGACCAGAATTATTGTCCTTGCCTAATTTCTGCTTCATTTTGATAAAAACACTTATATTTGGCCTGCAATACTTGCATATTAAACAAACGATTGAGCCAGTCTAATATACAAACGGTATTATTGTGAGCTCGATAGTGAGAGTTGACAGTGCACAACACCTCAACAATTTCATTGAAATTGTGAGCCGATATAAGTTAGACCACCATTGAAAGTCTGGAAGCACTCGATGGGCATTTCGTCCTAGTATGAGATGACTCATTGGTGCACATCTATGAATCCGCAACCTGGAACTGAACAGAGGGTCTTTGATCTTGCGCGCAAACACTTAACCTTTAAACCATTATTATCTAATTCCAATCAATCCCTGACATTATACTTCAAAAATTAGTCGCACTAACACAGGAAGAAAATAAAATGTAGGGAAAATCGATATACAAACAGAACAACCTGAAATGATGCAACTCAGTATATGTAGTAACGAAGGCATGACTTTGAAGCACATGGAAAATTAGTGAACTGCATGTAGTGTGACAACGAATCGGTAAAATCCAAAGGTTATGAGAAAAATTAGATAAGAGAAACGGCACTCGTGCTTATCGTTGTTACTAGTAAAATTTTAACTTTATTAACGAAAATTGAGTAACCCCGTGATCATTTTATCACTATCATAGTTAATGACTAACTAATCCTACTGATCAAATAGCATTAACAGTTATGAAAGAACTAATCAGCATTATTACTTAATATTTTACTGATTTCATCTTAACACACGCCTAATTCACTATAATTGTTCCGAAATCATTAGTCTACAAAATTAGAGATGTGCATGAATCCATATCCCAATTGTCATTAAGGACTTACATTTATGGTAAAAACTCCAGGTAAAGTACTGAAGCCACTTAATATTCAACAAATTGAGTTAGATTATATGACAGTTATTGTGCCCACTAATGGCTAATTTCAAGATGCAGCTCCTGAAGTTCTAGTGAAAAACCATGCCAAGTGGGATCCAGTTATATCGGGTAAGAGAAAGTTATCCATCACAGGTATTAGATGAGGGCTGAGTAATATTGTGAATTGACTGAAAGTAAATATTAACATCGTTGGATCCCGGCTAATTGGTCATAAAGTTAGGTGTTTACACGCGAGACCGAAGGTTTGAGTTCGAATCCCGGACATGCGGTTGTGGATGTGCACTGGTGAAGAGTTCCATACTAAAACGTGATTCCAGAATTTCAATGATGCTCTAAGATCAGTTCGTGATTTAAATGATGAAAGTTATTTTTCTTATTCTGAGTATAAAGATTAGGAATATTCTACAGTTAACTGTGATGTTATCACTTAAGCAACAAAGCTTTCAGCAATTTCATACACATAGTTCCCTTTATTATATATATATATATATATATATATATATATATTCGAAACAAAAATTTTATGACCTCAATCACTCTAACGAAATCTTTACCACATTATGTTATATATATTCATCCTTCATCGCCCTCTGTTGTATAAGTATGTCAATATCTATAATAACGTTGAATTTCAAATATTTTAGGTTGTAAGCAGCTGATGAGAACCTAACGAAATAAAATGAATTCATATTATTCTGCACCAACCTTTGTTCTTACTCTCTTTAAAAGCTTTCAGCGTTGATTAAATTTAATCGGTTAATTCTGAGAAGTAGCCATTAAATTATAATGGTTACGTGTTAAATATAACACTGAATGGTTGGAGGCAATCAGACAATAATAGGACAAAGCTAAATTGGTTACCATTTAAGTTATGGAATAACAGTATGTAAACCTATTTCAAGAACTTCGTTGAATGAAACTTATTTTTTAAAAACTGGTGAACGGATTATGGCTACATATATTACTACTACCATGTAATTATGAGCTACCTTTCTGAAATGACTTAGTGGATAGTTTATTTATGAAGTGGCCAAAATGAAGACATGATATCAGTGAATGTAGCCACTGGCTGTTGGACTGAATCACGTTGATAGATTTGTACTTCAAATGTGAGATCCAGAACAAAAAATATAATCTGTAGTTCGAGACGACAGATTACGTCATTCAAAATCCGTAGCACCAGTACAGCTGAACTTATATTCTTTATCGTCCTTTAAGTCTGGAGCTTAATATTAAGTTAAACCGTTCGTTCTTTGATACTGTTCGTTTCTTTAGAACCAGAGTTCATATGTTTAAATGTTAGGGATGCGGAGGAATATACCAATCATTATCATGTTAAGTCTAATGATGTACTTGAACTTAAAATGGACATTCCCTATTGACCATTATTTATTTCACTCGTTAAATATTGTACAGATGTTGTCTTCTATTTTTATGGTACGATGTGGTCTGTTTGGTTGGTATATAAACAGAGTATGTTTGAAATATAACGATTCATATCTCAGAGGCTATGACTTGTGTTCTGGACTCAACTGGCTGGGATAGACAGCGAAGCAGGGCCAATCGGGACTCTAGGTCGTTCATTACGTGTTTTCTGTCGTCGATCAATAAAACGCTGCTCCATCCATAAACTGCAATCCACACGTTACAACATTAAATTCGCATTAATGTAGGCAGTAGTACATCTCTTCCTTTACTTTCTCTAGATAATTTGCTTTATTACTGTGTTCATGTAAAGTATGGTGACACTTTGGATTGGCATATATTTGTAACAGTTTCTACTTCCTCGTCTATTGATGACTCGAATATATGTATCACTTACATTCAATCACCTAATAAGAAGTTAGGAAATGAATCACAAACAACTCTAATTTCTGAAATACTAATACATATTCCTTGTTTAAAAAAGAAGGCATTTACTTTCTAATTTCTCGACACATGCACAATGTTTCCCAGTTATCTGATTGTAATGATAAAACACCTTTCAATTCCGCTTCATATTGTGGATGCTTTTCTAGAACCAATTCAGAAACACGTCTAGATACAGCTTTATTTTGACGATCCAACGCTAAAAGACGTAATTTTAATTTGGATAATTCACGACAATTTGGTCCAGCAATATTCTGTGAAATGAAAAGATTTTGGTGTATTTACGGAAAAACTCAATTAGTTTTTTTAAATCACGTATAAACGTTTAAATTGGCTAAAATTAAGTGAGGATCTGTTTGACCGCGTTTTAATACATTACTGTGTATACTGAATATCTTGAATTATTCTTGCGGAGAATTATATTTGTAGTGTATAATTATTAAATATCTAGATTGTATCTCTATATTTTTTTCATTATGAGCAATTGTAGGACCTACTAACTGTTGTTATCGCCTTGCATTATTCCTTAATTATATCAAATTAACAAATCATATTTTGCTTCATTCTCTCATATATAACTTGATTGTACGTAAAGTGTGATTCTTAGTTTGGAGTATCTTGAGGTCTGATAATTTATGTATAAAAACCTATAAATCTTTACTGTTTTCTCTTACTCGAATTCTATGCTATGAATAGAAGAAACAGGTATCCTGGAACAATGAATTAAGATTATTCCAGTCTTAGCTCAAATTTGATCGTGCCAGTTAAAATGAATATTTGGTTATAATATATGACTTTAGTGTGTAGATAAAAACTATAGATATGGGATTATAAATCCCGAAACTGAATGGTGCATCTCTCTTTGTAGTGAACAAGAACACCGGTGGGGAACAATCGAATGTATTTGCCAACAAATTACAGAACTTGTTAATAAAATCTAACAATCATATAGTAAATGCTTAATTTACAAAATGTCCATCAATTGTCTCAAAATGACTCAGACCTCATTATTCTTGCATTTTCATACAAATTGCATTCTGTTTCCATTCTTTACTGTTCGATCCTCTTGTCTCTCTGCTGCCAGACCTGTTCACGAATAACTACTTATGTTGATATAAGTAGCACACACCACATCTTAATTGATGTCGAGTAATTCTTTAATTCATATCAGTTTTGAATACAGAGTTGTGTATGCTCAATAGTTGACTCTGAACATTACTTTAGAAGGATAAGATAAATTTTAATAGTTATTAGTTATTATTCTACTGTTAACTTATTTATAAGTACAAATTCGGATACTGAGCTTCAAATCACACTTTTATTATGAGGGCCAGTGACACTACTACCAGATTGTTCTTGAGGAACTAGATGAAGTCAGATTCGATCCTGTGGTTTAGTGTCTGAAAGTCGATAACGCCTTAACCACTAAGCTACCACTCCTCAATCTTAATAACAAAATAAAAATGTCAAGAATTAACCAATGCTTCTTATATATAGTTGCCCTTATTACTTATTCAACGTTATGAATTTTGTAGGTATGATGGTGAAGAACAATGAATGAAAAATGAAAATTGAAGTGTAACTGTAACCAGGAAGTGAGAGAGAGAAATGAGCACATGTTTAACAAAAACAAAAAGCAGTATATCCAAATTTGCACAGGACAGGTTAATAAAAAACGTAAGAATAAACATTTGTCTTGAATGAGCTCAATATGTGGAATGTAAACATTTTACCTTAGAATATAACGTTCCGACCAACATTATAACTATCAATATTACTAGTCTTTCAAATCTTAAATAGGTAAATTGTTATGTCCTTGCCATATACGATTACCGTGAATACGACTGCCAAATTTAGATACGCGGACTTAAACAACCAACAAATGACCCGAATAAAAAGCCTGGAGTCTCGATTGTTCCGCTGTCCTTGCCTGTTAAGTTCAGAACACAAATCTCAGCCTCTGCGATAAGAATCATATATTCCAAATATACTTGGGTTATATACAAGCCAAGCAGACCACATCACACCAGAAATAGAAGATAGCATTTGTAAAAGATCAAACCAAAACGTGGTTGTGGTTGTAATAGACCGTAATTAATAAACTGGGCATAACTTAAGAATTGGAAACAAAATTGCTTGAATAAATATACATGTGTTATTCTAATTTAAACAAGGGGACCTAATAGCAATTCAAAGAATAATTATTAATAGTATTGAACAAATTTTCAAAAACTAACTAGTATATTATTTAACCAAATGATTTATTCAGTTAAATGATTGGTTTCTAGAGATTACATATGGAGCTTAGACTTCAGCGAAACATACGTAACATTTAAGGTTCAGCTATTTTAAACACTAATGAAGTACAAATGACAGTTACTTTCATACTTTTATTATCTAAGGAAAGATAATTTCGGATTAGAAGTAACCTAGAATTCATAAAAACAATGGAGATTACATTACTGCTTTCATGATCAATTCAATAAACGATAAAGATCAGCTATAGTTGGTTTTCTTTTAGTCCACTTTAAATAATGGCGGGATTTGATAGTTAAAGCAACAAGCTTTCAATTACTGAATTACAGCTTCAAATTCCCCTTGACTACTCCAGTTTAAGCAACCACTAAGTATCACTGCTTTTCTCTCCTACTGACTTGATGGATGAATCCTTAACTCATTAAACAGTGGATGACCTACAAAATCGATTTGATCTTGTTGCATATGTCATGTGATCATGTTATTATTTAGACAAAAAAAACATTTGATCTTCTAGTTGGTGATCTTGTGTCTTTAATATTAATTCAACTGGGTTCTTACGTCAGTTATTCCGTCTGATGATCAGCTATTACTTAACCACATAGTATTAATGTATCTTATATATTAATTGGGATTCTATTCACTCATTATAACAACTAAAAATCCCATTCACTTATCAAATTTCCATATCATTAACAATTGGAGATGAGATTAATATACAAGTATCAGTTCGGTTGATATCTAGTTCAGATTATAACACTCATTTACAAATAAAGTGTGGCCCAAAACTGATTGGATTAAGCCTACATTAGAAAACTGATTAATAGATTTGAGGGTTTCATTAACTGATGAAAAACTAACCTAAATAGAACTTCAAATTCATGCATATCGTGAACTGAATCGATGTCAGTGTTTTCTTTTACAACGGTGACAGTAATTTACATGTAGATCAATGCTAGTGAACCGGTAACTGCAAAATCACCGGTCAGTATAAGCAGTATTGCTCAAAAAGTGCTCAGTATAAAACCCCATGTGAATTACTAATTGATCAGAAATAAATAATCATTATTATCATTCCTTTCATTATTATTATTATTACTACTAATTCCGTTCACAACTGTGAGTAGTATTGGTCCAATTTTCAGTGACCTGAAGTTGGTAAATATCTACGTAAATGAAAATTTAGATTTTTTAAATCCTGTCGTGTGAAACTGAAATATTTTTTGTGGGATAAATATATACAATTAAAGTATACTGTTAAGAAAACCCAACCCCGTAAAATAGAATAACACAGAGGTTATTCAGCAGTCATTAAGATTTAAAATAAGGATTCAAAAAAAGTTGTTAGTATAAGGAGTCTGAGGAGATCGTTGAATTTTATAGTTAACATAAATAACTAGCATTAGCTAGATAACCAATGAAAACCAGGAAGTATTGGACAGATGTTTAGTTCTGATATGGAACTCCTGTGTTTGTGTATTTACATCAGTGATTAGTAAAGGTTCAGCTATGTCAAATGTGAAGCAGTTACTCATCAATGTAATTTGAAGATGGTTGTACAATATCGTAAGCCGACTGAAGTTAGAAATAACTCAGTGGCCTGAAGCTTAAGTACTAGCCGCGAGAGACCAGAAGAATGTTTCAGGTTCAATCCCTGGTAGTATAACGGATGTCGACTGTTAAGGAGTCTCATATTAGAACGAATCAGCCGTCTATTGCTTCAGGGTTTTCAATAGTTATCTAATTAAGGTCAATTCGTGATACTAACTATAAAAATCTTCGAAAAATAATTGCCCCATCCTTTATGATTTTAGAATATTGTATAAATAATCTTAATTTGTAATCGATTTGATTAGTCCTGATAACAAGAACCGCATTCATGTAATAATTACTTGAACTAGACTCAATATGAAAGCAAAATGTAGGAAGATGTTCATTATCCGACATAGAATCGGTGTCCATTTAACTTGTTTGGTTTAATAGGCATTTAGCAAAGAAAAAATTAGAAATTTCGAAAGAGAGTGAGACGATAAACAATATCAAATTTAGTAAATATTTAGCATATTTTAATGTCTGTAGAAACATATTTTAGAAAAATGATTATATCTATTACATGCTGTTAAGAGTATCAACTATATGATCCTCTAAAAATCTAAATACGTTTAGATAAGCACAAGTAATGTAACTCAGTTGACAAATACAGCTTCAAATACTAGATATTTAGCCGCGCTATCTGTGTGAGAACTAGTAGTGTTGTAGCTACCATACGGTTTAACCTGAAGGAAACTGAAGAGGATTCGAAAACACTATCCAGTGGCTAAATATTTAGCACTTTAACTATCAAGAAGAACCAACCAGTTTATAATACCGTTTTACTATCAGAGCATTTATAAATGACCTTAACTGAGTAGTTTATTTTGATCGACCAGCACAACTTACTTCAATTTCATATTTTCCAGAGTCAAATGTCATTGAATAATAAACATCTTCAACATTATTGATCAACTCTTGCATAACATGTGGATCTCGAGTTGGATTCGGTGAATCGACGGAGCTCTGTAAAAAGAAATTGATTTTAAAAAATACGAGAATAACAATAAGAGAAATCTAGTCAAAAGTGTATGGTCGTAGGTTTTGCATTAATGGGAAGTTAGAGAGTAGGATAAGATAGCTCTTTGTTTGTACTGTTTTCTCCACTTGAAGATTAAGTTTGAATCCACTGAACCGGTCATTATTGCACAGATGCATTCACTTTTTATTCCTCTCTAGTATTCCTTTATACCTTTTTTTAGTTGGTTGTTCTGTATCATATCCTTGACGCTTAGTCTTTCTCATATTACGCACTAGTAATTAGCTAAGTGGTACGTTTTATAAATTTCCAGTTGAAATCATTACTTGTTAGGCCAGTTAAGTCAGAAATGAAGGTTTTGACAGTACATAACACTGACTAAGGCATTACCTTATATTACAAAAATTAATTAAATTTTAAAACATTAACCATCGAATTTCAACTCAGTATTTTTCAGAGTATCGCAGAATGAGTGACAAAATGTCAATAAATATACAGGATTTAATCCTATGTGATGTCATGGGTGGACACAGCTAAGGCATCCCAAAATGGGGTTGGATATCCCTTTACTGATTCATCAGCGGGTGTCAATTCTCGGTAAAGTTTACTTTTGAAAATGATATTTACTTGGAATCATGTTGGAAGCCCTGTGATTCTATCCATTTAAATCAGTCAGTCACACGTAACGTTAGCATACTACATTATCATAGGGAGATAAAATTATTTTAAAACGAATCCCAAAGTAGGAGTAGTGACAACATCAGTAGTAGTAAAGATTTATTCTAGGAAAAAAAGATAAAAGACTTCGGGACTCCGGTTCCAGGGAAAGAAAAAGAGTGAAAGTGCCTGCGCCATTGAGTTTTAATTTAGTCGTTTTCTAACGTTAAGAAATGTTCAAGAACAATAAGTAAGTTTACACAGAAGAATGGTTGATTTAAAGAGCCATAGAGATGTATGGTATCCTAATAATAAGAGTATGATTCTTTACGTTTGTCCTATGACCCACCAAATATCAAGTGATAAAACCACCAACCAGAATACCAACTTCTATGACCTTTTTCGTCGTACTAAACTAATTACACGTCAACCAGCACCAACAATTTTGAGTCAGCTCTGAGTCCATAGTGTTCCTCTGTATAACGACTTCCTGCTTAGCCCAGACCGTTCAGTACAAAACACAAATATCAGCCTCCACTGTATGAATCGTATATTTCAGACATATATGGTTTATATGCAAACAGACCATATTGCATCTTACCATAAAGTAAAAAACAATGATCATACAAGATCAATTCAAAAGTGCGGAATACTGTAATTGATGAATTGGGGATTAGTTAAGAATGGTAAATCGTATAACAGTAGCAGAATATATCATTACTACATATTCCTGATGTTGTGACCTTGTATGCACGCATCAAGTTACTGGCAACCAGATAGCATAAATAGCATTCGTAAGATGATATTTATCGAACCAAACAACTTATATGCTCTACCATTTCATTAATCACAAGACATCCCAACGAACTTGACCGAATACATCACTAATAACCCATTGGAACTAGCTAATCATAGGATTATATAATACCCCCATGCTTAAAAAAGCAACACGATTACGATTAATTAAGCTTGTAATTACAAATTAAACAGAAATTTTAAAATATTGGAACTTCCCGTTGTATAAATTAGAACGACATTAATAAGCAAAGAAAATTGCTCTCAACTAGATCTTCATTGAACTTTAATAAACAGTAATATTTATATCCATATATTAAAAAATATCGGATCAATTAGGGTGGTTTGTGGGTTATACTAATATTTATGTAAACATTTTGCTGATCATGTTTAGTTATGTAATCTACTTCGCTGTTATTATTAACTCAAAAACTACCTCAAACAATCATTACTTAGCGTACAACTGCCCTCATCTGCAACTCTTTCAACGTTGAACACGCCAGTTGTACCAAACTTTTGCGACTATTTAATCGTATATTTAGTGGGTAAATGCTTTACTACTAGTGTGATTTCCATCACGAATCTCAAATCAAACACTAACCCTTACTATGTTGGTGTCTTTATCAAGTAGACAGTTGTAAACAACTAGAGATTCTTGAAATGAAATCTCCAGTGAAAATTATGCATAAATATGCAACACTTAACCAATGAGTTAACGAAAAATGGCCATGAATGCTGGACACTATACACTTATTGAACATAGAAAACGTAGATAACCTCATCCTGTCCATAAAAAATGTGCATATATTTAGAAAATTCTCAAGAACAAAACAGGTGGAATGAACTATTCACAAATAATGTTAAAAACTGGTAAATAACATACATTACTTGTTTGTTTAGATAAAGTAAGCGGTTGAAATGATGAGACCGACTTCTCAACTTCGTCAATACCATTCGGTAGTTTCGAACGCTAAAATGGTTGAATAAAAGAAAAGGAAACAATGAATATGAAATAAACACACATAACATCAACAGCAGAAAATCTGGGTTTCATTTTTTAAAAATATGTGAGCTAATTAAGGCATATTATGACGATTTATGTTATGTCTTTGGTTTTTGAAGTATGGGTGGTATAAATTTACTAGCGAATTACGGAATATTTTTACTTTACATTTTTAATTCAGGATACTTTGGATGATTTGAATAATCCCGATAGATATTGCTTTTTCTGCTTTCTTGGGACGAGTGTAGATTAACTATTGCTTTTTACAGAATAAATTAATTGTGGCTAGCAAAGGAATCTATGACGGAGGTTTCTACTCATTTGGGATTCGTCATCTAGATGTACCTGGATCCCAGTTTCGACTTTATTAGATCCTATAATAAAGTTGATTCTCGTCAGAAATTTTGCTACACTAGAGGAAACCATCGAAAAATTATAAAGCAATGGACAATTACTCTTGTTTTTAAAGATTCCCTACAGTGGATGTCAATTCGGGATGTAGGTCAATCAATCAGTCTTCATAAGTCCTAAACCAAATTCTGCATACATCGAATGAAATCTGTCAATTTTATCTAATGATATATAATACCCAAAAGAATTCAAATTTCTCGGTTGAAGATCAACTCTATGGAATCCTTCAAAAAGATATATAGAAATATACATCCAGAAAGAATTTTTGAAACTTAAAAATATCGCTTTGTTCAAAGGTCACATACTATACAATTATTAACCACATCTTATATCTTTCCAAATTTATGTATAAAAAATTGTTCCATATTCTTTTCATTGAATTTACATGATTGACAGCATGTAACCAAAATTGTTTAATTTCTTTTTAACAATTATTTATTTTCACAGTCGAAATCACGAGTCAATCTAAACTGTGCCATCAATGACAGCCTCTATCCCAGCTAGGAATACATGTTGAGGTAGGTGGCGGTTAGATACACGTATCCTATGTCACATTTACATTGGTTAGCGAAATATCACAGCCTTATTAATAGTTTTCCATCCTCATTTGGTGCCCTATGTCTAACTTCAGTACTGTTCAATTGGTTGTTTCAAGGTACACAAGTAATGCATTAGTAACACCTACAGCCAAAAACTTCCAACATACGCCGGTCTTACACTTTTATAGGTCCCTACCACAGCTATGGTACAGAATAGATTGCTGTACAGTATACTCTCACTGGTTGGAAAATGGATATCGCGCCTACGACACTGATAAGGCAAGTCGATGAAAGCCAAGAGAGTAATCTGAATCCATTCTGAGGCTTCCTCAGAAACCGACCCAAGGTTTATGAGATTTTTAAACTAAAGAAAGTGTTTAAAAATCCCCATCATATAAAAATACTAATATTTGTACAAAGAATATTCTTTTCAACAAATTCTCCTCAGGTTCTACAATTATGTATATAAGTGGTTGGTTTGCTATGCTACTTCACTACCTATACAAAATCTACGTTTTAACACTAATTTGTCCTCAAGCAAAACTTAGCATTTAGTGGCGAAAAAACACACCCTGAATCCGCTTGTATTGTTATTCAGAGGCGTTTAGAAAGTGATGAAATTTCTAAATACTCTCCACAAATAGTAACGAAACTACTAAATCCCGACATAAATAAACTCCAAATCAGTGGTAATGAACATTTCAAAAAAGTGGTGAACCCGTCAACTAGAAGAGTGAAATATAACCTCTAAAAGCAATAATTTTAGGGTAAAGTCTATTTGTAGTGTTCGAAATGTGAGAAGCCTATTAGGACTCAAAATGACCTTTTTCAACCAGGTTTTGGTAAGTTTATTAATAGATTATCAATAAAACATGTTTTGATGCAATTATTTGATTCGTACAAACAAAAATTACCTTATGAGTAACGACATGACCATTAGCTAATGAACCTTACCATTTTGTCCTACTCCATTCTAAGATACTCAGTATCATGTCGCAATCGTAAATATTGAAAGCTTTACGTCTTTCACAAGAATGAGTATTGCATCATACTATCCACCAATAAGTGCATTAGATGATCGATGAACCAGGTTTGCTTTACCTAGGACAATGCCTTGAAAAGCGCTGGCACGGCCGAGGGTGAGAGAGTCAGCTCTCTCTCTTGAAATGCCTTCACATGACTACGCGTATAAAACCACTGCCAGGAAAGTCCTACTCACTATCTTCTCGCAAAAGGGTGTTTTTTTACGAAATTGAGAGAATGTAAAGCGAATATCCGGCGCTTTAACCGGATTGGTGGACATGGAGAGTCCACCTCGGAAAGTCGGAAACCCCCGATTCCAAACCTATGGTGCACATCGGCTCCAGGATCCCGAGGAGAAAAATGGCATATAAGCCAATCATTGGTCACCAGATACCATGGAAATGCATCTCCTGACGTTGCTCCACCGCCTTGTGGATCGGACCTTTAGATCAAAGGCCCTGGGTGTGGCCTCCTAAGAAAAGCACCTGCTTCGGTTTGGGCACCCGGGCAGTATTATAGCCCACACACAAGTCAAGTGACTTATGTGGCGCATATGTGTTTAGTGATGCTTTGTACCAATATTTATGTTCAAATAAATAAATAAATAATGCCTAGGGCAATTGATGCTATCTTGCTCTTTGGACATTGGTAAGTTTAACAAATCTATAACTAAACGGTTAAGAAATAAGCATTTTGATTAGAACACGACACTACTACAACACTCCGAACTTCATAAGAGGTAGGGAAACGAAGTGGATTTAGTTAATTACAGCAAATAAATGGGTCAATAGTAATAAGGTTATTTGAGTTATTCAACGAAAACATTAATACTGAAACTAGTACCAAACTGAAGTGTCTCGAAGTTATCGATCGCCGACTAATTTGACACTTATTCCGAGCTAGACGTTATAAAAACGATAGAACCAACTAGTAAACAACACCACTTCTCAGTTTTCCATTTTACTCTAGCAGTTAGCTGAATAAATAGACCAAGACAGTTTCACACTGATTCAGCAACTAAAATCTTACTTCAAAAAGTTGTCTAGCCATGTATTTGTAAGGGTTTGGAATATGTTAGTGAATAACAGAAATAAATAAGTTCAATATGAGAATCGATTTGGAATACGTATACTTTTTACAATCGTTGATCAAGACAAATGATTGAAGAAACGAAGCGAAGAGAAGAAAGCGAAGCAAAATGACGCGCGATGGAGGTGTGTGAGCCAACTCATAGTCAGAAAAAATAAGTTACGGATATGTGGTGAATAAAATGGGAATTGAACACACATGCGCTTACATGAAAACAGTATAGGTTGATAAGCGAATAATTAACAAGGTCAAAACGTGGCTCGAGAAGAATGAATAAGCTGGTTTGCCTAGAAGCTGGAATAAGCTACATGGCTCGACATAGGACCAGTCACTATGACTGACTTGTGACATGTAGATATGGTGTAATTATAAATTCATCGGTCACGGTATTTTTGTCCCACAAATAATCAAACCTCCAGTCTCAAATGACTTTAACTGAAAGCACTGCACAGTTATTACCATTTATTTACTTGCCTCAATTAGGTACTACACACTTAATCCAATTAAAATAAACCTGTAAACATCACGTTATTTAGCATAATTCTTTCAAAAATGTTCGATGTAAGATTGGAATGGAAAAACTGAGACGGCCAAAGAATATTGTAATTGAGGAGTTCGTGCGAAATTTAATACGCTCAACAATGTGCTGAAAAGCAACTATATTTTTCGAAGCCGTGTTTACTTCATTTAAATGAAGTTCACTCTAGGCTTATAACAGTAATGCGTAAGAAGGCACATGAAACACGTAAGATTAGATCAAAAAATATTGAGCGAAGTAAATATTCTGCCCGTTTTCAGCAGTTCTCTCGAATAGAACTGGCAACGCAAATAATTCTGTATGGCTTTATTATATTTACAACCACATGTTTTATTTTCAGACAATCAATGAGTACATTTTTGGCTATACTAAAATTAAATACATTGTCATAACAACCTTTACTCTTTGCATCAAATAAATAACTGCATAAAACAAACAAGAGTAACCCTTGAAGCACTTCTAACATACAACAGTTATGTTAAACTCACTTGAGAGACAAGACGCAATATCTTATCCATTTTATTTAGAGACACGAAAATGACCGCTGCCTTTTGGACACATACCACAAGGTCAATGAGCACTCAGTGAGGTAGAAAAACAAAACATCAGATTTCTAAGATCTCATCACATAGGACATGACTAGTTTCTAATATAAAAACTACAAAAGTGAGCACGTCCTTGGTTCATCTCAAGACGAACAAGATAAATAGAAAAATAGGAGACACCAAACTGTTAACCGTCACACATAAACTTAATTTTCAATATATACAATATCCTTATAACAGTCCTAGAAGAACCGACCGAATCTTTTAAGATTGCCTTTTGTCGTTTTAGTACGGTTCCAAATCCTTAATAATGTTTGATGTGGGTCAGTCTAGCTACTCGAGTGTACTAACTCTAGTCATTGTCGTCGTTATTTGAGGGTTTGTTCATCTTAAAGTCCAAGTGAGCCTGTTTGTCTCAAGTCTAAAAGGTTTCCGGAACCAGCAGCCATCAACTTGTTGGACAAGAGATTAGCTGGTTGTTATGTGAAAAAGAATACAGAGAAAGTCTGGATGTTGAGAGAATATGTTTGTTTCAAGAGGTAAATAAATAAGTTTATTAGTTACTAAAGCAGACAGAGTGAACAAAAGGAAAATTTCGGATGAAAGACAAAACGGAGATTGTAATAAGCAAGTGATGAAAAAATAACTAGGTCTGGTACTAATAACGGTAGATTGGTTAGGAAACATGAATCAGTCACATTTATTCCGAGCCAGAGATATCGTTATATTCGATGTTTTTAGTATCAACGACTGTGGAGTGAGAATTATAATACAAACGTTCTTTGATAAATACTCCAGTAATTAAGTTCACTGGCGTATACAGTTCATATAAACACCACACATTCCCATCATACAGGACGAACATCCGTACTTAAGTCAGAGATCCTAAATTATTTAGTTGTCTTCAATGCTTAAGCGGATCCGTTTCTTTCATGGCCCCCACGTGGATGGAACTGTTGGCATACTGCCTGTCATATTTTCTGGAGACGCCAAGTAACCAATCAGATAACTGGAATTTAAATAAAGCTTCTTCGATCTGGAATCATGAAAGCTTTCTAGAGTAGGACAATGAACAGAGACCTGAACGCCCAAATCTCTTTCAATAATCGAGGTAGGATGATCCCCTGCTATCCATGCACCTGCAGTTCGGATGTTAGATATCTTTAAAAAAGTGTAGACTCACTTCATACATATGATGTGAAGACCAAAATCCATTTGTACTTTAACTGGTGACAACGAAGATTTATAGTTGCAGTGGACCGTAACCACACGACCTTTAAAGCTGAGCATATGATTACTGAAAATATTTGTATTCAACAAATGACACGAAGAGTATGTTAACAATGGAGAACGTGGGAACATTCAGTTCAATCCAATCGGATGGCACGGCTCAGCCTTGCAGACAGTGTCATTCTGTATAACTTGTCTTTACATTAAATATATTATCCTATCGTTAACTTAAATGTACTAGATGAGCACAAATGAGAGCATTGTATTTGGTATTCCAAATCATCCGTCAATTAAGTAAAAATGAATCATTAGTTCGTAAAAATACCACAATATTATGGTATACATGATGCATCATTGAGATAGCTTATTCAAAAGACATAATGTACCACTTTGTTTTTTATCAGCGTTTGCCGATACCTACACAGCCTAATTATCACTTCTGGAGCACAGGCTTCTGACTAGCAATGTCCACCTTACTCTGTCTTGAATTTAGTTGATGGTCGTTGTGTTGTATTTCAGTATCATGGTTTTTCCCTTGTGTATGTTGAGATTTGCTGATGCAGAGATTGCTGCTACACTAGTTAACTGCATTTGCATTTGTTCATAGGCATCGGATAGAAGAACCAGAGTTTTTGCGAAGTCCAAATCTTCTAACTGATTCCGAGTTGTCCATTGTAGTCCGTGCTTCCTCTCAGTTGTAGAGGTTTTCATAATCCAGTCAACTACTAGAAGAGAAAGAGTAATGATAAGCAGCCTTGTCTGACACCTGCCTTTGTTTTGGATGCATTTGTCAATTGCATTCCACACAGGAATTTGCAGTGTAGTCCGTCGTATGTATTTTGGATAATGTTGATGATCTCTGGCACACCATAGTGTCGAACAAGGTTCCATTAGGTTTTTCTGTTCACACTGTCAAAATCTTTCTCATAATGAAAGGAACTGATGTATAGCAACGAACTCCATTCAATTGATTGTCCATCGATTGTCCGTAGTGTTTCGATTTGGTAGGTACATCATAAATTATCACGAAACACAGACTACTGATCTTCGAAGTTGGGCGTCTACTGAAGCTTTCATTCAGTTCAGCAAAAGTATCCTGATACTGACAGTAGTGTGATCTCTTTTCGTTATTCTCACATTTGCACACATCTACTCTCTTTGGTACTTTGATGCGTTGTCTTTCCTCCGACTCTGTCGGCACCTACAGTAGATGAATTTTTATATTTTCAAAAATATAGTATAGGATCAGGATGAAAATTTATCACTATTTTCCTGATGGGAATATATATATATGCGCTTATTTTTGTGTTGAGTAGGGATAGTCTGTTATGCTAAGCAATGATAATTGCAAAAGCGAGGAAATAGAGAAATTGTCACTGGTGTGTGTCTGTCAGTGTAAGCAGAAAGTTTGGAGTACACAAATACTTATTTGGGAGATGATATTTACTACATCAAGTCAAAAAGATGAGAATCGTTATAAAATTCATTGGCGATTAGTTAAGATACGTATGAGGAAGAGTAAATTGGCTAAGTTTAACCGCGTAGTATGTGGTCCTGCTTTGTCCTATCAGAGGTTCGTCATTAGGATACAAGAAGTAATACCTTAGGGATCCCTTATATATAGGTGAATGGTGATGAAATTTCATTTTCCCCCCACCATGTTAAGATTTTTTCTATATAAATTGATCCCACATAACCTTTTCAAATATCGGGACAACTGTAAACTGTTGTACCACAGAAATGCTAGAGAGAATGTACCAAATCTTTCCGATAGATAATCATATAAATGTTCCATAATTAGGATACTTCACTGAGCAACAATAGTCGATATACAACATATTCAGTTGCTTTGGCTTTCTACTAATAGTAACTGACATCAAAGTCCATATTTGTTTCTATGAATCACTTCCTGTTCGTTTGTTATCAGAGGCGTTTCGAACAACTTATTTACGCTTCCTTGATTTGCATTTACCATCACTTTTTTCGATAAAGTGATTGTAACAAGAATTTTCTAAATCATTTCGTTTCAAAACAAAATTCTGCTGTTATGCTTAAGAGATTATAGCAAACCGAATCATCATCATTAATCTGACTAATTTACACAATAACTTGAAGATGGTGAGTGTCCTTGTGACAAATCTCTCCTCGAAAGGATTTTTATAACCTTTATTTAGTTAATTGAAGTATCGTCTTCAAGTTGACCAATTATTGACCCGATGATAATTACCATCACTGAAGAGTATGTATATGGTACTATAACTTTTCAGCATGATCATGCTGAGACAACGTAATATCTATAGAGCTTTACGCGTAAAATACTATTGAATAAGCGAAGAACAATATATGAACTGCCCGGTTTCTTCCGAAAATGTCATTTGTGATTATGCATTTAAACCTCAAACAGAACACTGAGCATAATCAGTCAGTCAGTTGGTATCAACGTATAGTTTAGTACAGATATGCTTTGCACTATCTTACGGAGATGGAAACATACACTTCTATTTAATGTCTATGAAAAAGTCTTACTTAATATCGATACATTGCTTGGTACATTCTCAGCAATTGTCTTGAATGATTTATGTAACAAACACATCAGTTGAATTATTTGACGAAAGCTTATATTTGGTAATGTTCCTAGTCTTCAACTTCACATCTGATGTCGTGAATTCCTTTGTTTGGATGAAATGGCCGTATATTTCTTATTTAAAAAGTGCTACGAATCGAAGTTAAGGTACTATGTAAACAAGACAACGATAATAAATGAATAAGTCTATATTCAAAACCAGCTGTATGGTTTCACAATATGAACGGACAATAAATTGAATCAAATAGTAAAACATTCAAAACTTACTTCGACTCTAATAATTATGTACTATGTTCATCATCGGTGGGTAATAAAGTGAAAAAACTAATGATCAAGTAGTTGATAACGAACAATAACAAAGTGAGGAAATGAGGCCTGTCTGTTGCAACTGACTTGAAAAATTCGGATGTATATGGAGTGAGGGGGCCTTACTTTTACCGTATACTTTTAACTCACGTAGAATCTTACTTAGAGATTCAAGTGTACTCTTATTAGTATCTAAATGAAACGCTGTAAAGAATCAAGCGCCATCATAGTCTGTTTTTGCAAATCTACATCGACTGACTCGAAGCTGCAAAAAATTGTATCAAAACGTTTGGTGCAATTTCATTTTGATACACCTTAGAGTGTTGTAAACCAGATACATTTTAGTACTTTATATCTGCACCAAACCATCGAGCGTTCAATTCCAAACTCTCGGTATTCATCTCATCTAACACCATTTATGAGTAGTTTTCGTGACCTGTCCGCATATCTAATCTCTGATACGATATCTTGCAAAGAATCAATGTTCCGAAATTCCTAGTGAAATTTAGAAGTCTAATTGGGCAGTAAGTTTCAAAACGCCAACCGACCTATAGCGCTCAATTTCTTCTAACCGATTTTCTTACCAAGCTGTTTACTACATTTTTACAAAAACAACACAACCAAAACACTATAATCACAGCAGAATCATTGTGTTTTATTTTATTCATGAAAATAACAACGACAGAAATATCACTCTTAACAGTTGGGGTTTTTGTGTTTACTAGTGGAAATTATTTTACTCCTATGGAATCTAGTAGCATAAGGGTGTAAGTGCCTTCAGTACTTATCAAATCTCGGTGTAATATGCAAATAATTAAGGTCTACGAGCTACCTTTTACATCATTCAGAATTATATCACTTAATAACTTCACAATAATTGTAGATCTGGTCTTATCTTCTTTTCTCTTTCAGATTTGCTGG